ACTTAATCAAGTACTCTCATACACAGATAGGCTATTGCCTATACAAATATAACATTCCCACAGATGATTTTCTAACCTCTATCTGTGCTCCTCCAATCACATATAAAGTAAGTCTTGTATAAAGCCAGCCCATCTCACTATTAGAAAACACCCTTTAAAGTTCTTTCTTGCAATAAATGAAGATCAGTCTCCCAGAAAAGCTGGCCCTGGTTCTGTCCTCAAGTTCCACACAATATGTTAACCCTGCTTCCTCAATCAGATCTTTATAGATATTTGAAAAGGAGCTCCACCCCTACTATCCCTCCGCAAGCCAGGTTAAACACCCACACTTCTTTCAGCCCTTCCTCGTCTGACATGAATCTGCACTGACTGAGTCACCCTAAGTCTGGTTTGGCAGAACAACTTTCAACATATGGCACCAAAAAAAGGAATACAATATTCTAAATGTGGTCTGACAACTCAACCCTATAAGAAAACACTCACTGAGTACCTCCAGACTAATATTTTTCTTGACCTTGACTATACTTCTATTAATGTACCCTAAAAATACATTAACTTTGTTTTAGTCCAATTTATACTATGTATCCAGACAAAAATGAGCCCAGATTCTGTTATCCAAATGATCGGTTGATTCGCTTGCTGCCAGTTCCGTAAACATCATAATGGAATGAGACAATCAAAAACTTTTGAGCCATGTGGCCCTGGGTGGACCCTGTCACTTACTCGCTGAGTGACCTTAAACTGGAAAGGCACTGACTCTTTTGCAAGTTTTTGTGCAAGGCTCTGATTAAAAAGAAAAAAATAAGAGTTAATTAAAAAAAAAAAGTTAACAACTGTTGGGCAAAGCAGAAGCAACTCCTGAAGGAGCTGTGTGTATTAGGAAAACAAGGGAGCTTATCACAGGCCAGGAGCACCTGCTCACCTTGGAACACCAAGCAATAGACTGAATCCTGCTGCCATCTCTTCTTTCCACCTCGCTCTGGCCACAAACAGAAGGAAGCTTTGCTAGTCTCAACCCTATCTTTGCAGAGGTCAAGCAGCCGCTTCCATCCAGAAATGTTATAAATGCCAAGTGCACAGATCAACACCGCCATGATGAGACATCATGGTCACAAGCATGTGGACACTAAGGAACCTCCACCTTCCCCCATCCATCACATCTCAAATATGCAAAAGCCCAGTGCTGTGTATCCCGGGCATCCATTACCCTCACAGGGTCACTCTGTCTTGTGGCAGTGGTTGTCCACCAAGGAGCAGTATATCAGATAATCTTTGTCTGTCTGGCTCTCTCTCTCTCTCTCTTTTTTCTCCCACCACCTATCTTTGCTATCTCCTCCCCAACACCCTCGGGTGTGACTTGGCTGGACTGCTGTCTATACCGGACCAGTGAACCTTGCTAGGGAGCACTTCTTCCCTTGCTTTGAGCTGAACCATATTCTGAGTAGTTTACCTGGTTCTGAACCTGAACTTGAGCTTGACAATGACAGATTTGTGTGGCACAGAAGTTAATCATCTAGATTGACAGTGATCCACTGATCCCACTACAGAGTGACTGCCAGTTAACGTTGCAGAAGCAGAAGAGGAAATGGTCTAGTTAGTGAAGGGAAACGAAAGGAGATGTACCAACGCACTGCATTTCACAGCAATCCTCACACTGAAAGCAACATTTCTAAGCGCTTAAGAGTAATGAGTGTAGGGGCTGGAAACAAACACAAAAATGCTTCATGTCTGTGACTAACTTGACATGGTGAGACTCAAGCACAAGACGAGTAGCTGTGGGCAAGCTGGGTTGGTGGGTTTGGGCAAGCAGAAGATTACACAGGGAGGTGCAAGAGACATGAAGCTAAGAAGACTAAGCCAAGGCCAAACTGCTAAGGATCTTTGAATTCCAGACTAAGGAAGTAGGAGTTCAACCTGTAGGCCATTAGCAATCATCTCCTACTGGTTATAAAGAATCAGTTCAATAGCTGAAAATTGATTTCACAGATAATTGAGATAAATCAAATAATGCTGAGTGGAGCACATATTGGAGATACTTTAGATAGGCTTGGATAAGGAAGGCTTTCTGAACAGCAGCAACTAAAGTCAGGGAGACAGGGATACAAATATGTCAGGCAAGAATATTCCAGGCTGACAGACCCTGAGGCTACTTGGCATAGTCACATTTGAGAGACATGAAGAAACCGCAGTTATTCTGGAGAGGAATGAATAAAGTAAAAGGGGTAGGGGATCAGGACTGAGAGAATACAGAGTGCAGATCACTCTGTATTCCAGATTTTATTCATAGTCTCACGAGGAACTTCTAAACAGGAAGTAGAGCAGAAGAAGTAAGAGGAGTCAATTTATTATTTTTGTAATACTTTCTTGAAATCATAATACACACTAAATTTATGGCTCCCTAAAATACCAGTTCACAATCAACCCCCAAAAAGTGAGATTCGTTTGGCACACTTATTCTCAGTAAAGCCCGGCTGGTTTTTCATTCTCAGCTAAGTGCTCATAAAGCAAATATTACTAATCTGTTTGAGAGTTTCGCCAGGTGCTTGGTTTGAGAATCCATCATTCCTTCTCCTCTCAGCCCTCAAATTCCTCTTGAAAACCTGACAACATTTTCCCTTCTCTCACCTTGTGTAAAGAATGGGGAATTAAAAGGCAGACTGTGGGTACTAAACACAAATGAAAAGGGACCTTTTAAAAAAGAGCCATGCACAGGAAGATTTGTGACGAAATGGAAAAGACAGAGGAGGTCACCCAAGTGGGCTATGTGGGACACACTGGATGGGGCGGAGGGAATCAGGCTGCAGGTGTCTGCTTGAGGTGATGGATGAAAAACATGACCGCAGAGTTCAATAGAAATCACACCCCATAAGTAGACACAAAGCCTAAAAGAAAACATAGAAAAATGGTAATCCATTTTGACTGGATGGCAGGATTATGGCTGAATTTTTCTCACATTTTGGGTAAATTTCCTATAATATTATTAGTTGTAGCAGTTCTATAACTCAATGGAAATTTTTTAAAATATTAAAGGGACATTTAGGCAGAAGAACTTATTTCCAGAGCAAGAAAAATCAGGGTAATCACAAGTCTGGAGCATTAGAGTGTGTATGTTAAGAAACTGCAATTGGACCTCTACAGAGATTTCTCTTTTCAGATTTTTACAAAAAAGTAATTTGGGAGGAAGGAGAAGGGAGATTGCAGATCCTAGAGGAAAGACCACACAATCAGAAAGAACACATCCTTGCAATCCTGTCATGCTGCTGGGTTCTTTGTAATGTGCAACTAGACAATGAAAGTTAAGAGATCAAACCAGAATGCCTCGAGTTTCCTTGCACAGGCCTTTTCCAACTCTTCCTATGCTTCCAGTGACTCAGCTATGCCAAGTAGAGGAGTAAGCACCTAATTCTTACAGAGGGAACAAAGCATCACACACACACACACACACACACACACACACACACACACACACACACACACACACACACACCCCAAACCTGTATACATACACAGATACACCCATATGCACAAAAACTAATCTGGCACGAAGTACCAAAGGGTATTTTTCCATCAAGACATTGTCAGTATTAGGTTTTAAAGGATTTCATTTCCTTGAAAATCACTTGTGAGTTCTTTATATTTCACATTTTCCCTGGTAAAAATCTTAATGAAAAAGTTTTCATAGTACATAATAAGAACCTCTTCTGACTTAACTTTCTTTTAACTGCCATTCCTGATTAATTTCATTCTCATACAATAACTTAAGAATTTTTATGAACCCCCATTTCATTTTCCCATACTTCTGAATATGTTGTCACTGCTAAGACTGGAATGCTATTAACTGGTATACCTCTATATCATATCAATGCCAGTATGGTGAGTTTTATTTACTACTGATATAAAACTCTAGTTGCCTTGGAGAGGGTGTTGTGGTACAAAGGGTTGGTTGGCCACTTGGTTGCCTGCATCCAATCTTTGAGGGAGAAAAGGGAGGGATCCTGGCCAGCTTCCTGCTAATGCACCTAGGACACAGCCGATGATGGCTCAGTCCTTGATTTTCTGTCATCCACACGTGAGTTCCAGATGGAGTTCCAGGCTCCTGATTTTGCCCTGGTCCAACTCTAGCTGTTGTGGCCAAGTGAATCAACGAGAGCTCTCTTTTCTCTCTCCCTCCCTCTCTCTCTCTCTTTCTCTTTCCTTCTCTGACACTCTGCCTTTCAAATAAATAAATCTTTAAAAATCAAACATCAAATAAAAAATACCAGGGACCAGTGCCATTATAAAGCTAAGCCAAGCCTCCACTTGTGGCACTGGCATTCCATATGGATGCCAGTTCATCTTCTGGCAGCTCCACTTCTGAAACAGCTCCCTAATAATGGCCTGGGAAAGCAGCCAAGGCTGGCCCCAGTCCTTGGGTTCCTGCACCAACTATGAGGGACGCAAAGAAAGCTCCTGGCTTTGGATCGGCCAGCTCTGGCCTTTGTGACCATTGGGGAATGAACCAGTGGAAGGAAGATATCTCTGTCTCTCTCTGTCTCCGTCTCTCTCAGTAGCTAGAAGATGTTCTCTCTGTCTGTCTCTCTCTCTCTGTAGCTCTGCCTTTCCAATAATTCTTTAAAAAACATAAAGAAAAACAATCTTAAATATAAATTCCATTTTAATCTCTACCCAAGAAAATGGCAATAATTGTCTAGAGGCAAAAAATTTATCTTAACTTTTCCAATAGAGTATCCTAATCACCTCTGTTCATTAAGTGTCTAATGTAGTGACAATTACACCCATAACAGATTTCATACAGATTGCTTTTTCATGGTTAATAAAGCTCCAGCTTTCTTCAATTAGAATAATTTATCAATACAATTCAAACCAAATGATTTTAAAGATACAAACTGTATCAAAATTATTTATATTTTCACAAAATGTTACTATGTCTTACACAATAGTTCATGATTCAAACAGTTAGCTTTGATAACTTATTCAAAAAAATATAATGAGATACTCACTGGAAGGCTTAGGAATTCATTAAAGTAGTCCACAAGGAAATCATCTGTTGCCAAAGAATCTTCCTAACAAAGCAAAACACAGAATTGTGATTATGTTAAAACATGCTTATATTATTATAAAATTCTGTCATATATTTATTATAATGCAGAACTTTCAAATCTTTTTTGAGAGTCAATCAAAAGTGAATTTTTACCATGCCATCATCTCTGGAAGGAGGGTAAGTGTAGGAGGATGAAGTGAAACAATCTTTTAAAGACCTTTCTATTGTACTCAGTTGGAAAGCAGCAAACTATATATTACAGTTCTTAAAATGAAACATCAAAAAGTCCACAAGAATACCACTGCATGGGAAATTTCCAACAGACTTGTTTGAAATACACATAGTTCATAAAACTACAGACAGAATCAATAAAGATAGAAGCAGTGTTTGGGATTTGGGTGAAATTGAGGATGTAAATGTCATAAATGAAGCAGCAAGCTACGTGAAGGAAACGTGCCACTGCCTCCCTAGCAGAGGAGACTCCATTCCCATGATCTGGACCCTGCCTCACTTACCCACGGGCAAACCTTGAAATTCATGGACTAAGCATAAAGAATGTAGACTTTTTTCCCCTCATAACTATCTCGTCCACCAACATAGCCACTTTTAAACTTGGCAAGGTTGAAAAGCCACTGACAAAACAAAATCTGTCTGCCAAGTCATAAAACACCTTCTTTTATTAGTAACTGTTTCCATTGTGTCAAAAGCGCATGATGCCACACCCTGTTGTATAGTACATGTGTTTATTTTGCTATTCATAATTATATTTCAACTTTGCAAATCCAATATGAAAGTTGACAATATGACTCAATACTATTATTTCCATATGGCTGAATATTTTGTTATAAACAATTTTTTTAAAAATTCACTGAAATGCAGTGCTATCTGGAAGATACTATATTGTATTTACACCTACTTCTAAAAACAAACTTTCTGGGTAGTTTCTTTTAAATAAGCGCAATGTCAGTTGAGAGTTATAAAGCAATCACAGAATTTATATATATATATATATATATAACCTTACTAGAAATGTCACCTTATTGAAACAAACAAAAAAAAATTTAGTTTACTAAAAAATCTCAAATAACCAAAACAACAGCTAAGAATTTAATCAACCTATGCCACAGCAGAGGTCCCTCTGTGGCATTTGCTCAAATGAAGTTTCTGATTGTCTGATGTCTGATAGCCAGACATCAATTTGAGGGAAGTTCTAAAGATAGTTACCTTCAAAGTTACTTTCATTCTCTGGGATAATAACTTCCAATAATTCTTATGAGAAAACATTTGAAGTCAGCAAATTTTTCTTAGTATTTCCTATTTAGGGGGTACTGTGCAATACAATAAGAACAGCGAAACATTGCAGTACTGGGTCACAGGAGGGGAAAAAAATAATCCATAGATGTGAAAAGTGCTTTTTAAAAATTTTGTACTATTTATTTGAGAGACAAAGAGAAATGAATTCCATATAGCTGGCAGGACCCAATGACCGAAGCCTTCCCCTACTGATTCCAAGGATGCCCATCAGCAGGAAGATGGACTTGGCAGTGGAGCTGGGGCTCAAACCAAGCACTCCAATACATAATGAAAATTATCCCAACAGGCACCTTCACTCATAGACGAGATACTTGCCTAAGAATGTATGCTTTTAATGAATAGCTATAGTATAATTTCTTGCTAGTTTTTCTAAAATATGCATTATTCATTTTTTTAGCCCAAGAAGAGAATGTGCATTTCATGAAGCTTAAATAGTGCCTACAACTTAACCCAGTTACCTTGCCAGAAAAATTCTAGAGAATCCTCAGATTCATACTTGTAGATTCATTTCCAGATGTCTCATACTTCAATAAGCTATCCATGAAGTACCTTAATTTTTTTTTCCTTAACCCACTTCAAAGAAGTGTAAATTTGTAAAATACAGTAAGAATGGATTAGGAAAAAAAAGGTAGCAGAGGAACACACACTACAATTTCAATGTTTTAAATTCATATCAACACACTCTGACCGTAACTCTTGACTTCTGAGGTCATCTCTCCAGGGATAAGTATTCTCAGAGTCATCCCATGGTGGGCTGGCCCTTCCTGGCTATCTGGTCACATTCTCAGGCTGCACTTATCAATCATCAAAGTTTGAAAGATTCTAGGATCTCAGAATCTTTTTTCTGAAATTGCATCCTAATCAGTATTAAACATGGGCACTTGTGTTGAGATGGGCTGTGCTGCAAGTATGGGCCCCAAGAGAGAAGACCTGCCCTTCTCCAAGTGAACGAGCATGTTCTGCCACCACAGCTCGAGTTCCAGTATTCAACCGTGTTGTTACACCCAAAGCAGTTTTGTAAAGTGATAGTTAATAAATGTTTAACCTCCAAACCTTTTAACCATAGAAATTATTTTTAAAACAACTAGATCTGAAAAAAGCAGCTCAATGGCTACAACCCAACTGCCTAAATATATTAAACTAAATCAGGTTGGTATTCTAGTGGAATAGGTTAAGCAACCACCTGAGATGCCAGCATTCCATCTGGATACTGGTTCATGTGCCAGCTGCTTCACTTATGAACCAGCTCCCAGATAATGGCCTTGGAGAAAAACAAGATGGCCCAAGTGCTTGGGCTCCTGCACCATCATGGGAGGCCCAGATGGAACTCCCAGGTCCTCGCTTTAGCTTGGTCCAGTGCTGGCCATTGTAGCCAAGCGGGGAATGAACCAGCAGATGGAAAATCTCCCACTGTCTCTTTCTCCAACTCTGATTTTCAAAATACATACATAAATTTCTTAAAAGATGAACTAAGTCTTCATACTTGGGCTTAATATCTTCCAAACAACCAATAAACTGGAGATGGTTAACAGCACAATCAAGAACAAAGTTGAGTTCCAATCGATTCCTCCATTACATCATCCCATGAACCAAACTGCAAAATTTGCAGCCCAGCTTCTCTGTTGAGTGATGCAACGGAAAGTTGGAACATTACCTCAGAAATGAACATTCCTTGGAAACCTGGTTTTCATGCATTACAGGTGTGCCATCTGTGAAAGTGATGTCAGCTTTTCCATTCTGAGTTCGAACTTCTCAAATCCCTTGCTTTTCAAAGACACTTAAGCAAAAATAGAATGTGCACTTGCTAATTAGGACAGGGAAATTTCTTTGCTTAAAAAGTGGTTTTGCTGCACCCTGAGATCAGCAAAACTATAATTTTGTCACAATTCTACCAGATGCAAATAACAAAGGCAGCCTTATAAAGCAGGAGGAGGAAACAAGATAAATACAGCAAAATCCTTTGGATTTTCCAGAGGAAAAGATGTGAACTGGTAGAACAACCGCAAGAGGCTCAAGTGGGGGAAAACAGCGTGTGAAATGCATTTCAGATAACATCACATCCTACATGAAATACCACTAGGCAAGGTGATGATGCAGAAGACAAGGAGAAACGCACGGGCAAAGCAATGTCAGAAAGCAAACCAGAGGGCAGTAAGAATCAACTAGAAAAGAACTTGAAGGAAATGTTTAGGATCATGGAAATATTTGGTATTGATACTTGGCAGCTTGAACTACACAGCATATACACTTATCAAACCTCACCACATGATCTCCTGAAAACTTTTGCATTTTGGTAAATAAATTTTGCATCATCAACAACAAAAAAACATAGGTGGCCTGCATAGCAAATAAGAATTTGACCTACGACTCTAGTACCGGGTCAAGTCCCAGCTGCTCCACTTCCCATCCAGCTCCCTGCTCAAGGTCTGGGAAAAGCAGCAGCAGATGGCTCACACACTTGTGTTCCTGCCACTGGGGGACCCCCAAGAAGGCTCCCAGCTCCTGACTTTGGTCTGGCCTACCACTTGGCAATTGCAGCCATCTGGGCAGTAAACTAACAATGGAAGTGCCTTCTCTTACTCTGTCTCCCCCCATCCCTCTTGTAACTCTTTTGGATAAATCAATCTATAAAAAATACTAATATTGAATGCTGGTTCACAATATTCATGGTGAATGATTAAGGCTGAAGTAACTTTGAAATGCACCAAAAAGCATAAAATGAGTTGATGGACGGAGGGAGAGACACAGAAGGACACAAATGTCAAAAAGATGTAGCAATATAAATGGAAATCTCAATGATTTCACTCCAAAACTGTGCCTCACACAGTGGTCTCTGTGAACTTCTAGAGGAAAGGACAGTGTCTCATTCTTTTTTATTCCCAATGCTTTGAACACTGTTGTGGAACGGGTACTCAGTGATTTCACGGAGGACATGAGTCTGAAAAGATTAATATCCTAACAAAGACTCCATTAAAGCAATGCTAATAGAACCATTTACTATTATTCATTTGAGAGGCACAGAGAAAGCTCCCATCTACCAACCCACCCCCAGAGGCTTGTATTGGCTAAGGTTGGCAAGGGCCAAAGCCAAGAACCAACAATACAATCCAAGCTCCCTACACGGGTGACAGGAATTCAGTCACTAAAGCCACCACCACTGCCTCCCAAGGTCTGCATTAACAGCAAGCTGGAGGGAACAGCAAGGGCTGGACCCCAAAGCCAGGCACACCAAGGTGGGACTCCAGAATGGCAGACCTCTTAACACCAAACAGCTACCCCTTGGATCTACCATTGAAATTAATGAAACAGTGGGTTTCCCTTATCAGAAAGCCTTCAACAAAGTGGATGATTACACTACACTATTTTGACTCCATGAAGACTTTAAAAAGAATATGACACATCTACTTTCATAGTTGTTAAATGATTTTTACAGTACAAGAAGATATGATGATTTTGGATTTAGAATCAAGCACAAAAATGTTTACATTCATGTATTCTATTTACATATGATTATTTGGGATTTTAAAAGTCATGTACTTAAGTCTTTTAAGTTAATATTTTGTATCTTAATTTTTAAACAGTTTTTGTAGAACTCACTCAAACGTTACAGATAAAAAAGTTAAAATACATCATAGCAGCATGTCCATGACAAACATTTTATTATAAATGAGCTATGTGATACTCTGAAGATGAAGATCCCACATCAAGGCAAAATCATTTTTCAGGTGTCCACGGCAGTATTGTACTTTCACAGAGTAAAAAAAAACAAAACACAATATGAACAAAGCTATTACAAACATGGAAGCACAGGAATGACAAAACACAACTTAAATAAAACTAAAGTTTATTTCTGTCACCTGATCATAAGCAGTCCAAAGTCAGCTGACAAGCTGACAACATGCAGTCCCAAATATCAGGAGCCCAGGCCCCTTTGGTCTGCAACTCTGTCCTCCAACACCACTTCTATTTCACGACCCAAGATGACTGCTAGAGCCCCAGCAGCACATCCTTACTCCAGACAGTAGAAAAGCAGGGAAAGGACCCATTCTTCTCACTACACAGATCTGTACAATAGGCTCAGTATATCCCAGCTTCTAATCGTGCCTCAACCAGTTAATAACTACATGATGGGAGGGTCTGTCATTTGGTCTCTACAAACATCAACTTCCCAGTAATTCAATAGAACACTTCCACTTGCACCCTACTGCATTGAATTTAGTTATGTGACCACACCATCTCGCTGCAAGAGGCCAGGAAATGTGGTCTTTATTCTAGATAGCAATGTCTCTAATATCATCATGGAAAAGGGGAGAAAGGGTTTGGGGGACCATAAGTCTCTGCTACACCCTTTGCTCTAAGTCTATGTAGTTTATTAATGCGTTACAACACTGTCACACTTTCAGAAGCAGAGATATAAATGTGTACAAGATGCGTGAAGGGTTTAATCCATAGGCAACACTTGATGGATCTGTGCACGTGTGAGGGCTTAGTCACAGACTGCTTTCAACTGAAAGCTGCCACAGCTCCAAGGCAGTGGGGATGTTGCTAGGTTAATGGAGGAAAGGAAGTAGTCCTTGAGGATTATGCTAGATGGTGAATTGAAAGGGAAAAGGCAACCGAGACCAAATTCATTGGCCAAGGCAAGGACAAAAGCAGGGCATTCTGACTGCAATGGAAGGCATGTGCAAGTACTTTATAAACCCGAAAGAGGATGAGGGCCATCTTCATCACAGCAGAAAGGCACAGGCTATGGTGAAAGAAAAGGGAAAAGCTACAAGAAGAGTCTAGAAGGCTGAACTGCCGTGCTGGACATTCTGGCTCTGCTAGTTGCTCATGTGTAGCCTCAGGCCCAGGGAGCTGACCTCTGTAAACTTCCTTCCTCAAGTGTGAAATCTAGGTAACAATCGTGACTTAATGGGGGTAGTTTTGAGGTTAAATACCAGCATGTAGCTGGCTTCCAATAAATACCAGCTGATAATAAAAGTTCTGAACAATCGAGGAACAGGCTAATTTTTCAGGTTAATAGCAAACTGAGCCAGGGCAGGAGTAAAACAGGAGACAGAAAGAAAAAAAAAAATCTAAAGGGAGGCAGAGCAAAGCAATAGCAAGTAATCCAGTACAGCAGATGCACAGGAGTTTGCATTTTATGCTTTAGAAAACGAAAAATTGGAGTTGGCAGGGGAATTACTGGAGGCAGGGATATCAGTTAGGACTCGTGCCAAAGTCCAGCCCAGGAATGGAGCACCTGAAATCAGACGGTAGCTGTGAGCAGGGAGGAAAGAAATCTGGCTATGAAATGAACCTGGTAAATGATTTCAGGTGGATGTGGGGAAAATGGAAGAAAGGCACTGGTTAGGGTAAGTGATCTGCCAATGGGACCATCAGCCAAAAACAGCACGTGAGGGAAACAGGGAGTGGGGGCGGTGGAGGGCGCAGGGGGGCAAGTTCAAGTGAGACTGTCAAGGTGATCGAGACATCCAGATGATGAAGATGCCCACTAACACCTTCCATAGACAAAGCTGCTACCCAAAACAGGTGCGTTGACCTGGAGGGCCCAAGAAATAGGGAGAGCTGGAGCTACAAGAGCTGGAGCTCACTCAGGCAAAACTGTTTCATCAGAATCTTGAGGAAGTCATTGCTGTCAAGGGGGGTGGGGGGTGGGGAAATGAAAGAAAGAAGCAAGAAAGGGGAAACATGAGCAGGAGAACTGGGAGATGATTGTCAAAGAAGCCAAACAAGGAGCAGGAGTGGCTCTTAGCAGCAGGTGTGGAAGGAGTGACTCAAACAAGACCCCAAGACTGACCCCGCCATCCTGAACCCAACGGCCACCTTGAATACCTGCTTACCCAGCACTACCTTAAGTCCCTTAGGTCTCCGTCCCCTTAAGGCCCACTCACCTAAAGAGAGCTTCTAATTCTTCAGATTCAGACCGTTCTCTCTTCCAATTCCTGTACATTATGACTCCCATACTTGAAGCCCCATCACCACCAATCCCCTGAGGCATTTATCCCTGGTGTCCCCTAGACGCTGAACCTGCCAATCCGTGACCCTGCATTCCCCACACCCCAGTTTCAGGATATAAAGATGCCTGTGCCCTTTGCTCACTCTCCCTCCCCCCAACCCCACTGTCGGCCCACCATGCACTCTCTCTCTCTACTCCTGTTTTCTCTCTGCCCTGTGGCTGCCTCCCTGCCAGAATAAAGGACCTCTTGTGTGGCCCACTTGCTGTGTCCAGCATAAAATATCCAACAAGGTGGCTGTGGCCAGATGCCTAGAGTGGTTAGCAAACTGCTCAGGTACAAAGCGGAGTGCCTCTAGACCTTGTGTGTACACGTGTATATGTGTTTCCTAGAGAGCAATGGATCAAAGGTCTGAAAAAGTGGCAGAAGCATGCAGGCACACAATACATGCGTGCCCATGTGTGCACCCACTCGGCCTTGGCCTTCTCTCTCAGCCACTGCTAGCCTGTGAACAACCTGAAACTCATCCTCAGCACCTAGGAGGGCAGTGTGAAGACACCATGACTCCAGTTTGTTGAAAGACCAAAGTTAATCAGAGGGGAAAAGTGCTGAAGGGCATCAGCAAATAACAGAAGTGGTTCAAAGAGTTCCAGGACTGGGACACAGAGCTCAGGGGGAATATAGGCTGTTACTTCCTACCCAGCTGCCCTGGTGGGCAAGCTTTTGTTGTTTTTTGTTTTTTGTTAGCTCAACACTAGAGCAAACACTAAAATATAGCACTTGCTTAAAAGACTATGCACACATCTGGCAAAATACTTAATATTACTCACCATCTCCAGAAGCCTGAACTAAGAACAATATTTAGCACATGTTAAGGGGAATTATAAACTGACCACTCATTACCAATCAATGCCTTCTACTGCTGTTTACTGAAAACAGGACTGCAGCAGGGCCCGGTGCAGTAACACCATGGTAATGAAACCCACCTCTCCCAGGCACATTGCAGAGTTCAGAGAAATGAAATGAGGTCATCTATGTAACGAGAACTTTACCCATGACCAGTGTCCACCCTACAAATCAATCGGCCCTGCTTGAAAGTGGACCTGGGAGAGAACAGAGAAAGCTGTGTGTGTATAGTTATCACCATGGTCACTAAACCAAAGCTTGCACTGCAGCCTTCTGGCATAAAAAAAGAGAGAAGGGGGGAAAAAAAATAAGTAGCTGTTCTAAATCATACTTACAAATTTTTCTTCTGTAATGTCTGGTGGCTCTGAAACGAGATAAAACAGTGCATGAGCTCACTTGTAAGAGTCAACGGAATCATTTGAGGCTGGACCTAGCCCACTTGATTCTCCTCACATGCGTTGGATTTTTTTTTTTAAGTTGGAATTCCACATGGAAAAGTACAGGAAAGGCTTCTGGACATCCAGCTCGGCTGTGCGTTCAAAGGTCACCCCTGAAAACCCTTCCTAGACTAGGAAGGCCGCCATTATTCCAACTGCACTCTAGACTAGAGGGAAATCGAAGCTCCCCGCAAGGAAGTAGACCAAGTTTCTGAGAAAAAGTGAGGCCAGCTTGTGGAATATCAAGGAAGTGGAAACACCCGGGGCCCAGGAAAAATTGAAGTTCTGAGGCGCCTCAGGCCCCGCGTCCCTGCCCCCCCCCCGGACGCCACACGCCCCGCAGCCGCGTGCCGCCCCGACCGACGGACCCGGGGCCGCCCGGCCACCTTACCCGCGTCCAACCGCTTCTCGGGCATGGCGGCCGCCCTCCCGCGCCCGGCGTCCGCGCCCGGCAGGGCCTCAGCCCCGCGTGCGCCCAACGCCCGTCAGGGCCGGAGCCTCGGGGTTGCGTCTGCTCGCCGGCCGCTCCCCCTACCCCGAGCCTCGCCCGGGGTTGCCATGGAGCTGAGACAATGAGGCCACGGCCTGGCGGTTAGATGCGGGCGCCTGAGGCCACGGCCCGGCGGTCAGACGCTTTTGGGGGCCCCAGACAGGAGCACCCATACACCCCCCCACACACCCCCTCGTGGCTTCTTCTCCACAGCAGGACGCGTCCTGGGAGCTGGGGCGGCCTGGAGATCCAGCCTGAAGCCGCTGTGCCTGGGAATTTGAAGTTCCCAAGCAAGGAAAAGAGGACAGGCAGGCGAGGCCCCGGGCGCCCCTGCAAGCGTGGATCGCGAGAAGCCCGCCCAGCTGCGCCTCAGTGTCCTTGATAAGCGCTGGTTCAGAGGCAAGAAGGCCCGTGTGAAAAATTAAAACTTGGGAATTTTAGGAAGCAGATCTTCCCCCACATATTTTAGTTCCAGTTCAGCTAAGCTTGAAACGTTTCCAAGGCATCTAATCTTGAAACGTCCTGGAAGGGTGTTGAAAAGGGGCTGATAAGTTGATAAACTAGTGTATGAGAAATTAGGATGGAAGGGTTTTAAGTAAGAGTGATATTTGAAGACAGTAATTCTAATGAGGAGGAAAAAAATTCCCATGAATGAAAAGTATGTTAGCGAAAATTTCGCACCGTCACCCTCTCCACTTGAGCCAAAAAAAAAAAAAAAAATGGATTTTGCTTGACCCCTTCCTGTGCATATGTCCCAGGCAGCTTTCCTACCCCATATCTGCACATCTCCTGGGGTAAGTCTGGTGTTCTGTGAGCCATACCTGCATCTACCCAGGGACTCAAGGCAGAATCCTGGGAGTTTTCCCGCTGAAGCTTCCTCCCACCCCTAGACCAGGTCCATGTTCAGTGGAGCGCGGGGGCCCTGCCAGTTCTGTGTTCAACTGTTTGTGGAAATCCGCAGTCTCGTCTCCACTAGCCTTCACAAGGGACTGGCGTCTGGATTGTCGTAAAGCCTTCCCAACTGGACTTCTCAAATCCATTCTCCCTGCAGAAAGCTGAGTTTATCTAAAGCTCAATCTGAGCTGTTTATAAGACATCAACTTACTCCACATCGGCTCCGGCTGTCAGTGGGAAGGCTCCTCAGCTGGTCAGGGATCCACAGGTGCCTGAGGGCTGCAAGGAGTAAGTGCTTGCATTGCAGAAGTGTAATGCCTGCCTAGGTGTATGTCATTGTGTGCTTGGTATTGCTAGGAGAAGACCCAAAACAAACCCCCCCAGAGAAAGCCAAGAAAGCTTGGTGTGATTACAGGGAGCAGAAGAGAGCAGAGAGGCAAAGGAAAGTAGGGATGGATGAGCCACAAAGCATTTTCTAGGACCAGCTGAGGACCGGCTTTCACTGGGAGGGAAACATGCACTGGAGGAGTTTGTATGAAGAAGGGACCTGATGTTACTCATCTACGAGAGAGAGCACTGATGTGGACCAGTGAGTGCTGAAGCAGGTTAAGAGCCTTGGCACAGTAAGTTAAGACTCCTGGGCAGTCTTTCAAGTCCTGCTGCTTCTCTTCCCATCCAGCTTCCTGCTAATGTCCTGCCCAAGACCTTGGACCCCTGCAACCACAATGAATAACCAAAACAAGCTCTAGGCTTCTGGCTTTGAACCAGCCCGAGTCACTGTGGCCATCCATTTGGGGAGTGAACTAGTGGATGGAAAATCTCCATCTCTGTGTCAATCTGCCTTTCAATTAGAATAAATCTTTAAAAATAATAAAAATCAAGTGAAATCTTGATCCATAGTATGCAGGCAGGATCTTTGGGAGGTAATTGGATTGGATGTTGTTGCAAGGGCGTAGGCTGGGAACAGATCGTGACAGCTTTATCAGGAGAGACACGTGGACAAGGAGGAAGAATATGATTGTCTCAGTGTTTCCTACCTTTCCAGCATGTCCACCCCCACCAGATACCCAGGGAGGCCACCCAATCTTGAATGGTGGATTTCTTAAACCATATAGCTAAAGTAAACCTGTTCCTCCTAAGTAGTCCTTCTCCAGTATTGTAGCTAAGGTAATGAGAAGCTGACCAAGGCGGGTATCCTCTTAGGAGGAGACTTGCTGGGTCAGATGGCAACTCTTTGTTGAGCTTTTGGAAAGAACTGATGGATTGTTTTCCCAATTAACTGTACCATTTTACATCCCCGACAGCAGTGAATGAGAGCTCAGATTTCCCTCACATGCTGGCCAGCACTTGCCATCTGACTTTTTATCATCTGATTTTTACCATCTGACTTTTGCATTATAGCTATCCTTTGGGGTGTCTCTTTGTGGTTTGGATCTGAATTTCCCTGATGATTAGATTCTGTTTATTTTTACCACGTTATAGTCTGTCTCTCTCCTCTCCCAGGATAAAACTTAGGCAGCTTTTCAAAAAAAGAATGTTTTCCCACAACCAGTCTCTATCGTTGTTGAAATCAAAATGCAAAGGTACATGTAGAAACTCTTGGAAAAATAGGCTTATGGGAAAAGTTTATTTTGGTGAAGAAAATTTTTGAAATCCATCCATAGAAGGAGTCTTCAGGACGAATATTGAAGCGGGGGTTGGGGGATTTCAAAATTATTGCCATGAAAGTAATGTTACTGTTCAATTTATATGCTCTTTTCGGGAGTACCCTCCATGTTCACAACCAAAGGGTTTAATGGGAAACACCCCCATCAATGGCAGTTAAGTGTCTGTTTCTTCTTTTCTCATTATGTACACATAGCAGATTTGAAGGGTTTGGGATGACTTTTTTAAATACTTGAAATTCAGCTCAGGAAACCTTAAGAGCATTTCGGTCTCCCCCAACAAAAGAGCTAGAACTGTGATGTGATAAAAAGCTAAGGTAACTGTGGGCAGTATACAGAATTGATATCATGTTAAGTTGCGACCGCATGGTTTCAAACATGAGCCCTACAACAAACATGGAGGCAGGATTGACCTTGTGAATTGCAAGGATTCGTTAACATCAGGGCTCTGTTGCCTTCAAGGTGAGAAGCTGCAGGATTTCACTGAATCTTCCAGGATCTTTGCTGGATGTGCACGTGAAACATACCAAAGGGTAAAATTCATGTGATTTTCATTTTTTATAGTCATGGTATACTATGTCTGGAAGTCTAAATATACAAGACGATGATGGCCAGACCATCTATGGCAGTGACACTGACCCACTCCCTCTGTGAGAGCCAGTCTTGGTTGCTAGACCACAGCACGGTCAGGAACTGGCAGCCTCACTAATGAAGTCCCCACTTCCAGCTCAGGATCAATCAGAGAAAACCAAACCTGCTCCTGATGTCAGTCACACAGGATGCCCTCTGGGTGCTCTAACCCACTCCCTGCTTCCCATGCCAGCACTCTCCATTGAGAATGCACCTGAAGCTTTCTCATTCCCTCCTCCTGCCATTTAAAACACTCCCACTCAACTTTGCAGTCCACATCTGTGTGAAGTGTGAGCAGTCGGGTTGAGTCCCTTGCTATTGCAAGCGCTGAATAAATAGCCTCTCTTTGTTCTCCTTTGATTTGTCTTTATTTCCAAATACCTAACATATTTTTCCTTTGCACATAAAAAAATTCTGTTTTGAGTGACAGGACAGCACCATGTTTTTCCTAGGAGCTGGATGGCAACTCAACATCCAATGGAATGGTGATTGGTACACATCTCCCACATCCCAATCCTTCTGATAACTGCAGGTGTTACAAGGCGTTTTAGAAACACGGGGTCACCAAATTTAAGTGTTCTTTATCTCCATTCCCTTTTTGATATCCAATGTGTTTATCCAGTATGGTTAGCTACTACCCACATCCCTGTCACATTTAAGTGAGAACCAGCATTTTTTTCTACTTCCTAACTTAATAGTTCATAGCAGTTTGACGAAGATGCTTAACCACATGGGTGCAGGGTCCCAAGGTTTGGGGTGGTCCTCAACTGCTTTCCCAGGCCATAAGCAGGGAGCTGGGCACCAGGCCCTCATACGGTCTCTCTTAATATAATGATAAAACTTATTTTTAATTTTAAACATTTATTTATTTGGAAAGCAGAGTTACAGGAAAGAGAGATGGAGAGACAGCAAGAGCAGGCTTCTCTGTCTGCTTGTTCACTCCGCAAATGGTAGTGAGGGCCATGGCTGGGCCACTTTGAAGCCATGAGCCAGGAGTTTCCCATGTGGGTTCTCCCATGTGGGTCTCCCATGTGGGTTCAAGGGCACAAGGACTTGAGCCATCCTCTACCACTTTCCCAGGCACATTAGCAAGAAGCTAGATTGCAAGTGGAGCAGCCAAGATTCAAACCAGCACTGATACAGAATGCTGGTGTCAAAGGCAGAGGCTTTATTTGCTATGCTACAGTGTAAACCCTGAGATCAGATGCACAGGGTATGGGGTTCCCTGCCAGGCCAAGACTTAACAGTGGAGATTTTCAATTGCAGTCACCATGGCAGATTTCCATGCCCTTTAGCCAACATCCACGGCATCTCTTTAGGATTAAGCAGGTAAACTCTGAAGCCCCTACAGCAGATAAGAAAAAAATAACTCTTGGGATTTTATATCTTTCAGGAACTAATTTAGGAAGTCTCGCAGAGTAATTTGAAAATGAATGCAAAGTGTACTCTGCTAGTACAGAAGGAGAGAGGCAGGTGGACAACTCTGGGGGAAAAAATAAAAGAAGCATCTCCTGACACCTTTTCATTTTCAGCATGGACCCATAAATAACAGAGTGACCGCTGGCTGAGCGGTCAGGTGAGTACTGAACCTAGGCTAGCATTAGAAGAGGTGACAGGGAAGGCCTCTGTCCATTCAGCATCAAGGTGCTAGGCTAGTGTCAGAGCAAGCAACGGTGCTACAGGAGCAAGTAGGGAAGTAACTTTCGCTTTTAGGCACTTGGAAGACAAGAGTTGGATGCAAAGAGGAAATCCGTCCTCTTGGAGAGTTCAGAGAACGCTTCGTGGCAAACACTAAGGATCAACTGGTTTTCAAGAAGTTGCCAGTGAAGAAATCACCAGGGGACTTTAGAAAACAGCAACACAAGAGTTTGGCTGGAACAAAGCATCCAGAAGGGGAGTGGTGGGAGAGATTGCTGGAAAAGTAGAGCCATTAGAAGATTCTAAATTCTGTGTTCTTTTTTTTTCCCCAGAAGCAACTGTAGCCAGAACCATATTGTAGCACCGGGCATCCATCTGTGCAGCTCTAGACAACATTCAAGTATGGAGAATCTGGCTGTGGCTAGGACCTTAACTCAGCACTACCTTTATGCAGGAATGATGATGTCCAATGGCTATCATTGGTGGCAGGATGATTCCATTCGTAAACAACATCCACCCGTCATGAGTCCACAGCTCCAATCCACAGTCCTGGCTCCATGGCCCACGAAGAGGGAATACCGAGCCACTGACCAAGTAAACACAGTTAGCTAAAGAACCAGTCAGGGCCTGCTGGCAAGGGGCTCTGTTAGAAGCCATCCAAGAAGCCTGCTGGAATATTTCATTACCATGGAGTAATAACTGCTACCAAAATTAATTCTACAAACACTTTTAAAATTAAGTCAAGCAGCATTTCACCTGTTTGGCAGTGTCACAGCACCATCAATGTCAAACACATAAAACCTGAATTTACTTTTTAGTAGGAAAAAGCCAAGATCACCATCCATGAGTCTTTGGTGCCCTCTGGTGGAACATTGAGTGCACTGTTTGAAATGTTTCCCCTCCTTACAGAAATAATACTATTTCTTGTATTTTAAAATAAATTGCAAGCATTTTCTGTATGTTTTAAGCTTAAAAAAAAAAACAAATCCACAGTAATAACTATGTGAAATCACGAACATTTCATTATTGAATGTTAAATGTGTTCAGTGAATATTATAAATAGGGGAACGGACATTTACAGAGTGAATCAGAAGATGGAAGAACTTCTCTCACAGTAAAAGCTGCCTTTCAAATAAAAGTAATTTATTTTTTTTTCAAGAAAATGTATAACATTGTTTTGAGCCATAAGCAAAGATATTGAACAAACAGCTTGACAGTGTTGCATATCAAGAGGTTTCCTTAATAGCAATTCCAATTATGGCTAAGAAACCCACATCATAAATAATTCTTTAAATAGCTAGGATGTATTTCAAATTGTATTGTTTCAGAAATGACAGTGTCCGCTTTGGTTCCATGTTTGTTAAGACTTATTTGAAAGAGACACAAGGGAAGGAATGAGTATTCAGAGAAAACTTGATGCATCCATCACTTGTCTGTTTTAGGATGAGAGCCTCTGGGTCTTTCCCCATGGTCTGCCCCCTCGACGCCCTTGCTAGCATTCCTAAAGGCTGTCAATATTGATGCTTTGAGTTTATTCGAGGGTGAGCATTTGGCCTAGCAGTTGGGCTGAGTGACCACAAGGCGGCCAATATGATCACATTGCATGGGCACCATGAAGGTTGCACATAGGAGAGAAGTAGGGTACCTCAGGGAAGCAGGATTTCACACAGAAAAGATGTGCTAATGATAGAAATTCACTGTATATTGGAAAATGTAAATATTTAGAATTATAGAACGATCTTGCACTTAATTTAAAAATATGTCACAGAGTGACAGAGAGCTCTTCCCTTTGCTGGTAGCTTCCCCTCCCCCGCCAAATATCCTTAACAGTGGAATTGGATCAGCCAAAGCAAAGAGCTGGAACTGAAGCCAAATCTTCCGTGTGGGGGGCAGAGACTCAAGTCCCTGAGCCATACAGCCTGCTGTTTCCAGGGTTTGCATTTGTGGGCAGCTAGCAGCAGGAACAGAGCTGGCTCTTGAACCAAGGCATGCCACCCTGTATGGGATCGGGTGTTCCAAGCCGGCTTCACCCTCGTCTATGAAACTGGCGAGCTAAAGAGTCATTTCAGGAATGACATTTAGGTTATTCAGAGAAAGAAAGGAAGAAATAGCATTGGTGTTTATTTGACAAATGAAGATAGGCCTGGATCTCAGCCAGAGAGAGAGATCAAAGTAGCTACTATTCAATGAACCAGGGTCACCTTCACATATCAAAAGGACCAAGACTGGAATAAGTTTCCTAAAACCAGAGAAACCTCTCTGAGCCTGTCGCAGTGGCTCAACAGCTAAAATTCTGCATGGCACTGAGAACCCATATGGATACCAATTCATGTCCCAGCTGCTCCACTTCCTTTCCTTCTCCCTGCTTGTGGCCTGGAAAAGCAGCAGAGAATGGCCCAAAGCCTTGGGACCCTGCACCCGCATGGGAGACCAGGAGGAGGCTCCTGGCTCCTGGCTTTGGATCAGTTCAGCTCCATTTGGGAAGTGAACCAGTAGATAGATCTTTCTGTATCTCCTCTCTATAAATCTGTCTTTCCAATAGAAATAAATAAGTAAATAAGAAGCTCCTCTGATGGAGAGAAAATAATTAAGCTATAAGTAAACACATTAATCAGGAAAAGGATCCTGATGTGAAATTAAATAGAATTCTGAATTAAATAGATTCTACAAATTATCTGGTTGAAGTCACATGAATCAGAAAACAGATCAAATTCAGGGATTGCATAACTTCTATGAAATAGAACAAACACCTTGTTTTATTTATATTTACCTTCCAAAAATCCTTTGTGGAATAGGAAATTATATACATAAGATTTAATATTTGGCAGTTAGTAAAAAAAAAAATTAGAGCAAGTTACCAACCAATTAGAATTTAAGGGAGAGCTTTTCAAATGTAACTAATTCACACTTTCAATTGTTTTAATCAAATAATGGATAAGAGCTACACCTAAATCTGTGTCGTAGTGTGTAGATAAGTACACACAGCAGTAAATACAAACCAAAACATTATGAAGCTAAGTTTCAAGTTCCTCTCCCCACCCCCGTTTTAGTGATCTGTTCAACAATCTTACCACTTTCTCTCTCTCCTCTCTCTCTTTTTTTGTTATTGTTCTTTAAGTGGATTGTGCAGCTAATTTCAAAGCATTTTTGGGCAGAAGTGTATACACATTTCAAATATATGTGTGTGTGTATATATATACACACATATATATATAGTTTTAAAAAGATATTAGAAAAACAGAGCAACAGAGAAACAGAGGAAGACAGATTCTCCATCTGCTAATTCATCCCTCAAATGCCCACATTGGCCGTGGCTGGGTCAACCTGAGGCCAGGAGATATGACGTGCATCCAAGTCTCCTACAAATAACTTGGTAAAATTTCTTTTTAAAACCAAATTGAGGGCCTGTCATGGTGGCCTAGCTGCTAAAGTCCTCGCCTTGCACGCCAGGGATCCCATATGGGCACCGGTTCTGATCCCGGTAGTTCCACTTCCCATCCAGCTCCCTGCTTGTGGCCCGGGAAAGCAGTCGAGGACGGCCCAAAGCTTTGGGACCCTGAACACCCGTGTGGGAGACCCAGAAGAGCTCCTGGCTTTGGTTCAGCGCAGTTCCAGACGTTGTGAACATTTGGGGAGTGAACCAGAGGACAGAAGATCTTCCTCTCTTTTTTTTTTTTAAGATTAATTTATTTTTTATTACAAAGTCAGATATACTGAGAAGAGGAGAGACAGAGAGGAATATCTTCCATCCGATGATTCACTCCCCAAGTGAGCACAACGGCCGGTTGTTGCAAATGCCGATCCAAAGCCATGAACCTCTTCCTGGTCTCCCAGGCTACAAGCAGGGAGTTGGATGGGAAGTGGAGCTGCCGGGATCAGAACCGGCGCCCATATGGGATCCCGGGAGCGGTCAAGGTGAGGACTTTAGCCACTAGGCCACGCCGCCGGGCCCGATCTTCCTCTGTTTCTCTTTCTCTAAGTATATCTTACTTTCAAATAAAAATAAATCTTTTTTAAAAATTGATCTTTTCCCACTATCCCAAATTTGTCAAAATATTAATACCCAGCCTAGAGAAAATAAATAAAATCTATATCTGTAGGCCTACAATTTTTTTTTTTTATTGGAAAGGCAGATATACAGAGAGGAGAGACAGAGAGGAAGATCTTCCGTCCAATGATTCACTCCCTAAGTGAGCGCAACGGTCGATGCTATGCTGATCCCCGAAGCCAGGAGGCTCTTCCAGGTCTCCCACATGGGTGCGGGGTCTCAAGGCTTTGGGCTGTCCTCGACTACTTTCCCAGGCCACAGGCAGGGAGCTGGAAGGGAAACGGGGCTGCCGGGATTAGAACCGGCGCCCATTTGGGATCCCGGGCGTGCAAGGCAAGGACCTTAACCACTTGTGCCACCGTGCCGGGCCCGGCCTACAATTTTTTTAAGTTCTCATTTTAAAGTATGACTTTAAATATATATTAACTATGACTCTTATTAGAAGCAACTGTAATGCTACATAATTTACTTTTTTGGGTCTTCCAAGTTTTCAATGTCTAGTAAATTTTACTCAACTAGGACTCCACCCAAATTTATGTGAAGAGATGGACTGAAATTATGGAGTTAATTGGATAGGACTCATGAATACATTCTGTTTATAGTTAATTCCAATTGAGGAGTCATCTTTCAAACCCAAAAGTCAAGGTCTCAACATTTTTAATACTGCTTGCACTATTTTCAAATGATCATTGAAGGACCCTGCAACACATAGCGATAAAATGCACAACTTAAGGGTGTTACATAAACTATCAAATACACATATTTGAGAACACTGAAAATCCTTTATTTAAAATACCAAGATATTAAAATAAGTTAACAAAACAACTAATAAAATGGAAAATTTCAAAAAATTAATAATTTAAGCCTACAATAGATTAAATATATACAAAACAGGAAAATCGATCAGCATCTGTCATTAATGGGAACATTTGTATGTGTTTAAAATAGTCATAATTTTTTCAGTCAGAAAGATACACCGTTGTGCTGCTTCTCCGTGCAGTCTCCTTAGAGGCGTTTGAGGTTCCTCTTACTCTGGGCGCTCCCTGGGAGAGCATCTTTTCTGTGTCTTCCCTTCGTTGTGCTCCTGCTGCATTCTTCAGACCCATGGTAAGCACACAGACACAGCACACAAAAGTCAAAGCCACAGGCCAGGCGGCTACACAGTCCCCTCCTCTTATACGGCTGGTACTTGGCGGGGGACTGGCACCGTGGGCAGGGTTTCAACGCTTCATCAGTGAAAAGTGTCTTGGCAACCTGCAGTGAGAGCACGCGCGCATACACACACACACACACACACACACACACACACACACACACACACACACACACACACACGGAAAGGCACTAATAAATCCTCCAGGCTGGTTTTATGTCACACCCTGTCCAATGCTTCACTCTGACAGGCTCAGGGCAAATGCTCACCTTCACATATTCCTCCTGCTTGCTGCTTGGGTAAGTGACAGAAGAGCTTACTAGGGGTGTCAAGGCTTCTCCCCACGGGGATGAGCTGGGAACTTGCTCCTTCTGAGTGCTGGGCGTCCTGGCCTGTGCTTGCACAGATCTTAAAGCAGAGCGACTGAGAAGATGGACCCGCGTGGCAGCATCCTCCACATTTAGCACGGCCTCCTGTGACAGAGGGCAAGAATCAACACCAACATCCAAAAAGCCTCCAGAACAGCCTTGCGGTGCATGTGGATGATGGTGGAGCTAAATTTATATCACCAGAATGTCCTCCTTAGGCCATTTCCTTTTTTCAGAAAAACAAAGCCAAGATGTTTTGTTTTACCTTAACATGAGGAAGTCAAAGGAATTGAAAAAGGAAAAAAATTAAAACAATGAACTCTAGCTTTATGTTTGCACAGTTAGTTATTCCTTCATTTATTTCAAGTGTTGATTTAGCAAACTTTTCCCAACAAGGGCCAGATTTTTTTTTTCAAGCCGTATAGTTACAGCTACTCAACTTGTGTTGGTTGTAGAGATAAACAGCTTGTAGACAACACATACATCAAAGAATGAGGCGGGATCCAGACTTCTGCACTTGTATGTTTGTTGCAGTCCTAATCAAAACTAGCCAATAAAGGGAGTCAATCCAGGTACCCCTAATAGATGAATGAATAAAGGAGACGTTAATACACATACATGGAAGAACACCATTCAGTTGAAGAAGAGAAGGAGGAGGAGGAGGAAGGAGAAGATGAAACTTGGATGGAACAGGACATCAAGCCAAAAAGTCGGGTATAGAAAGACAAGTTCTGCATGTGGAGGAGAAGGAGTGAGGATGGTTAACAGGTACAGGGCTGCAGCTGGAGAATTTCTTTTAACTTCTATAAAGCACAGTAGGATGACTATGGTTGACAATAACGAAGAGAAGATTTCTCTACAATACAGAGAATATTTTGAATGTTCTTAACACAAAAAATAGTAACTGTCTAAGGTGCAATAGCATGATCTGATACTACACACTGAACACATGCGTGGAAATATCATGCAGCACCTGATACAGGTACAATTACCATGTGTCAATTAAAAGTAAAAATATATTTTTTAAAAGCCTACAGGTAATGGATTGGATTTAGCCCATACAACACAGTATTTGCCCCCTATTTTAAGGCAGGGTCTAAAAGACGGGGACTCTTGGGAGTTGACCACAGGCTATCACGGAGTCCTTTGAAGGTTTCTCAGGTTCCTCACCTTACCCACACATCAGAAGAACCAGGGCATTGCTTAGACTGTGAAATCCAATGTCTCTGGCTTATTTTTGCAAATATCTGGTACTAATCTACTTGAACAGCTTTGCTATTTTAAAAGGGAAAAAAAAAGTCAAACCAACCTTTCATCTCTACTAGGTTCCCACATTACTAATATTCGGTCAAGAAATGTGGTAACAGGGGCTATCATTTTGCAGGCCAAGCCACCGCCTGTGACAGCAGCACTCCATACCCAGGTACTGGTTCGAGTCCCAGCTGCTCTGCTTTGCAGTCAACTTCCTGCTAATGCTCTTGGCAAGGCAGCAGATGATGGCTGGACTTCCTGGCTTTTGACTGTGGTCTGGCTGGCCTGGGCCTGGTTGTTGAAGTTTTAAGGGGGACAAGACCCATAGAGGCAAGACCTCTCAATTTCTCTGTCACTATGCCTTTCAAATAACTAACTAAATAAAGACATGTTATAACATTAGAGTTTTAAAAATGCTAATTGTGAATCCTCATATCACAATTACGTATTTATCAAAACATGTTGTATACCTTAAGTATATCCAATTTTTGTCAGTTACCTCAATGAGCATGAAAAATTAAAATGTGTGTAATTAAATTATATATAAAGAAATATTTCAATAAAATATTCTTATAGCTATATTTTGTTAAGCTTGGAAATGGATAAAAAGTCTATTTTTTTAAGACAAATTGACCTTCTTAAACAATTTTCAAAATAAAATTAACTATGGGAGAATTTTCTCATATGTCCTACTCTGTGTTTTCTTCCTCTCTCTCTCTCTCTCTTTTTCTCTCTCTCTCTCTCATCCTCTTTTGTCTCAGGTGGCTCTAAACTATGGGGAGAGTTAAGACATGTGAAATTAGGGCGGAGCCGAAATAGCTCAGTTGGGAGAGCGTTAGACTGAAGACATGTGAAATTATAGCAGCATAGGGACATGGATACTGCAACAGGTTTGGGGTAAACAAATGAATAAATTTAGGTACAAAAATTTTGAAATCCATGCATATGAGGGTTCTTCAAAAATTACATAAATCACACATTATGAAAAAAAACTATCTTTACATTATTTCAAATGTTCACACCAAAACAAAATTTATTTAAAAATTGTTTTACTCTATAAAGATTCTATTGACTCAAGAGACAATGACAAAACATCCATCTACTAGTTCACTAACCAAATGCCTGATGCTGGAGCTGGGCCAGGTTGGAGGCCAAAGCTGGGAGGCAGGAGCTCAATCCAGATCTCCAAGAGGGGGTGCAGGAACCCCATTATTTGAGCCAACACAGTGCCTCCCAGGGCTTGCATTAGCACAAAACTGGAATCAGAAGCTGGAGCTGAGATCTGACCTCAGGCATTTCAACGGGGGATCCTGCACATCTTACCTCTCAGACCAAAGCATCAGCACTAAACTTATCATTTTGTGCTTTCATTTTTTTTCCCACTCTTTTTTTTTTTTTTTTTTTGTTTTTTAAGATTTATTTTTATTATTTTTTATTGGAAAGGCGGATATACAGAGAGGAGAGACAGAGAGGAAGATCTTCCATCCGATGATTCACTCCCCAAGTGAGCCGCAACGGGTCGATGCTATGCCGATCCGAAGCCAGGAGCCTCTTCCGGGTCTCCCACGCGGGTGCAGGTTCCCAAAGCTTTGGGCCGTCCTCGACTGCTTTCCCAGGCCACAGGCAGGGAGCTGGAAGGGAAGCGGGGCTGCCGGGATTAGAACCGGCGCCCATATGGGATCCCGGGCGTGCAAGGCGAGGACTTAACCACTTGCGCCACCGCGCCGGGCCCTTTCCCACTCTTTAATTTGACACAGACACACAAAGACAGATATCTTCTATTCTCTGATTCACTCCCCAAATGCCTGCAACGGCCAAGGCTAGGCCAGACCAAAGCCAGGAGGCCAGACTTCAATCCAGGTCTCTCACAGGAGAGGCAGGGACCAAGTCCTGGAGTCAGCCCCTGCTGTTTCCAAGGGTGCGTGCTGGCAAGAAGCTGGACCGCAAGCAGGGGCGCCAGGACTCAGCCAGGCACTCTTCCATGCCATACAGGTGTCCTAAGCAGCGAATCAGCCCGTGTTCCAAACATCTACTTCCTCTATTTGGCTTCTAAGTTCATTTTCCCTTGGACTTTTAAAGTGTCCACTTAGAAGAAATGAGTTTAGCCAGTCATGAAAATGACACGATTAGCAGTTTGTAAAAATATTGTGCCTAGGGTGTCTCTTCCTCTCCCCAGTCCCCATCTCCTGGCTTTCTTTTGGGAGGCGCTTTCCCTCATCTCTCCCTTCCCTGCTCATCTGGTCCCATCACAAATAAAGTTTTCTATGTGCAAAAAAATATTATATTGTGCCTAATATAATAGGTAAATGGGGGGGCTCAGAAATTAAAATATAGTGCATGAATTTACTCAAGAACTAAACAAGGAGTTCTCGGTGACGGCATGCAAATGTAAGAAAAATCCTCAGACAGCTTTGCTTCCCCATCTTTTGCTTAAGTCAGTGATAGCTTTGGCTAGCTCAGGTGGCAGGCAGCCAATCCAAGTCAGGAGAGCAGCCAAGAGCTCCCACCGCCGCCGGAGGATGTCTCTGGGTATAAGAAGCAGCAGGTGGAATACCTGATCTGTTTGGACTCACACAGAGGAGTCAGGGATCGATAGGGAGAAATAGTAGACAAAACAGGAGAAAAGCTGAGCCATTATTGACTGAAGGTTGGGGGAAGGAGGAGTAGAGGGTCAGACAGAATACAGGAAATGTAAGCAGAGTACACAGCACATTTCAGCCATGGAACACATCACAAGTGTCTCAACACGCTCCACAAGGTCAGTATCTAATTGCAGTCACTCGGTGCTATCATTCCAGCCAAAAGGCAAGAACAAGGCAGAAGGAGAAGGGGACGGGTGGGTAGGTAGTAGCACCAAGAAGTTAGAAAACTGATATAGCTGCTCTGTAGGGGACAATAAATAAATGATTGTAAATAAATGATTAAGGAACATAGAGGTAAGTATTTAGAACAAAAAAATAAAAACTGAAAAAGTGACAGTGATGGCCTTGTTGGGGTAAGAGCAGGAACAGATGGAGTGAGAGAACGGTGTTCTATGTTATGAGCCTCACCATCAAATTGGATTTTCTAAGCCATGTTTTTGTATTAGTTTGAAAAGATGTTTTAAAAAGCAAGCTGTAGGGCCCGGCGCAGTGGCACAGTGGTTAAGGTCCTCGCCTTGCACGCCCGGGATCCCATATGGGCGGCAGTTCTAATCCCCTTCCAGCTCCCTGCTTGTGGCTTGGGAAAGCAGTCGAGGACAGCCCAAAGCTTTGGGACCCTGCACCCGTGTGGGAGACCCGGAAGAGGCTCCTGGCTTCGGATTGGCATAGTATCGGCCGTTGCGCTCACTTAGGGAGTGAATCATTGGACGCAAGATCTTCCTCTCTGTCTCTCCTCTCTGTATATCTGCCTTTCCAATGAAAAAATAACAAAAATGAATCTTTTTTAAAAAAGCAAGCTGTAGGGCTTGGCGTAATAGCCTAGTGGCTAAAGTCCTTTCTTTGCACAAACCGGGATCCCATAGTGGTGGCGGTTCTAGTCCTGGTGGCCCCACTTCCCATCCAGCTTCCTGCTTGTGGCTTGGGAAAACAGTCAAGGACGGCCCAAAGCCTTGAGACCCTGCACCTGTGTGGGAGACCCGGAAGAGGCTCCAGGCTCCTGGCTTCGGGTCTGCTTAGCTCTGGTAGTTTTGGCCACTTGGAGAGTGAATCAATGGACAGATTTCTTCCTCTTTGTGTGTCTGACTTTCAAAAAAAAAAAAATCCTAAAATAAAGCAAACTGTAATGATATCACTGTGAAGCACAAGGAAGAAAAAGTAGAGTCCTTTGAGAAGTTGAGTTGTTTTTTAAGTCTTATCTTCCAAGTTGAGAGGAAACTCAAACTTGCAGTATAAAGCCCCTCCAACATTCCAGTGCAATGAGAAACCCATCCATCCGTGTTCCGGTGCTCCCTTTAGTTTCTGGCATTTATCACCTTCACTGTTGTATTTAGTCAAATCAGAAATTTCCTTATAGTTTATCAAATACATTTTGCCAGGACAAGAACAAATTACTGAGTACTCTTGAGTTTCTTTTGATTTTGCATTGGTGCCTACAAAAAAAAAAAGGTTATATCTAAAATTTGGGGGCAAGGTCATCATCAGGTGACTGACACTCAAGGTCAAGTCTCTGGGAAGTACACGCCAGTCCTCTAGGATGCTCCGCGGGCGGTAACCAGCTGAGCTTTCAGCTCCAGGCCTGTGAGCACGCACCTCCCCTCCCTCTGCTGCCGCACAATTCCCTGACTTCTTCACCTGGCTAGCTGCGACTCATCCTTCAGGCCCAAGCTGAGATGCACTTTTCTTCATCCCAACGCCTGATCCAACACTCCTTTGGAATGTCCAACAGAATGCTGGATTTCCCCTGAAACACACCTGTGTTGTCACCACCTCTCCACTAGGATCATCCCCTGGATATGAAGTCCAGGAGAGCAGGGACATACACACTGAGGCCAGTACTGTGGCGTAACATGTTAATCCTCCTCCTGTGGTGCTGGCATCCCATATGGGTGCAGGGTCCCAGTCCTAGGTACTCTACTTCCAGTCCGGTTTCCTGTTAATGCCCTGAGAAAGCATTAGGGGATGGCCCTGGGTCTTGGGCCCCTGTACCCTACACCCTGTACCCTGGAAGAAGCTCCAGGCTTCTGGTATTGGACTGGCCAGCTCCACCTGTTGCAATCATTTAGGGAATGAACCAGTAGATGGAAGATCATGCTCTGTCTCTCCTTCTCTTACTGTATCTCTGCCTTTCCAATAAAAATAAATTAATTTAAAAGCAGAGAGGTACACATTGTAGTATGAGAAACTGGCACAGTTCCCAACACGTAAAATCCAGTGAAAGGATTGGAATACAAGTGCCAGCATAGATGTTTAAGCTACCTGGTAAGAGGACACTTGGGATGCTTCCATGTAATATCAGAGTGCCTACTCTATTCCCAATTCCAGCTTCCTGCTGTTGCCTACCCTGGGAAGTAACAGGTGACGGCTCATGCGCTTGCATCCCTTGCACCCACCCAGGAGATCTGAATTGAGCTCCTGGCTTCCATTACATTTAGGGGGTGAACCGGTGGATGGGAAACATGACACGCTCTGCTTCTCTCTCTCAAGTAATTTTTTTAAATTGTTATACAAGTATCCAATTAGGAATAAGATCCAACATGTCATTGGTACCCAGATGCTGCCACAGTGTGTCAATTTCAACATCAATAAAGCCCAGCAAGATCTTCCAGATATTAGGTAGTCCATTCAACTTTATAGGCTGGGTGGAAAGTTTTGAGAAAGAACTTATGAGTAAATAAAGTTAAAAAAGGTTAAAAGATAACAGAAAAAAAAAAACCAAAAATAGGTTGTCTGGTACCATAAAAAGGTTAGATGCTTATGTAAATCCATTTCCGAGGAGTATTATTATATACATTACCTCAGAATTTCTTTTCAGTTGTGTGATATAAAATTTTCTCCTCCGGTATGCTTTCTTATCTTGAATGACAATTTCACGCCAATTTCTGCTGACTTTCCAAACACTAAAATAAAAGGATCAGTCCTGATATTTTATGTACTTTAAATAAATAGCATTTTTGCATATGGTGATTAACAAACTTTAGACTGTAAATTTAAACTAAAATTTTACCTTAAAATATGACTTAAACAACAGTGTTGCTTCATGCTGATTTATCTAAGAGTCCTTATTAAAATAGATTGATTTAAGAGGCAGCATTATAGAGGAAAAGAAGTGAGATGAGAGAACTTCTACCTGCAGGTTCACTCCCCAGATGGCTGCAATGACTGGGACTGAAGCCAGGAGCTTCATCCAGGTTTCCCATATGGCTCAGGAGCCCAAATACTTCCATTGCTTCCCCAGACACATTAGCAGGGAGCTAGATCAGAAGCGGGGCAGCCAGGACTTGAACCAGCTGCCCATATGGGATGCCTTTATTGTAGGTGGCAGCTTAACTCACTGTACTACAATACTGACCCCAAGAATTACTATTAAAAACATAAAGTATATGACAGCATGATATGGTGGGTCACTATTTTATAAATGGACATACAAATATGGATCCAGTGGGGGAGTGATGAAGAGGATTAACTTCAAATGTGACACTGCAATGAAATATTTAAAATACCACATTATCGTCCGTAGAGAAGATTTTCAAGATCAATGATCCTATTACCATATTCGACATGTCTATAATTTTGATTAAATAAAAGCAAAATTAATTATTCAGTGGAAACATTAAGTGTCAAAGAAATACTATTATGAGGAGGTGAGCATTGTGGTTCAGCAACTTACATCACTGCTTGGGATGCCCACATCCTGTGCGGGAGTACCTGGGTTGAATCCCATTCACCAGTTGCCTGCTAATGTGCCTGGGACGCAGCAGGTGACAGGTCAAGCCCTTGGCTTCCTGGCACCCACCAGGATATCCCATTCACAATCTGGGTTTCAAGCTTCAGCCTCATCCAACCCTGGTTACTGCAGCCACTTGGAGAGTGAAGCAGCACACAGATGATCTCTGTCTCCTTCTCTTTTTCTGTTACTCTGTATTTCAAACCAAACAGTCTTCCAAAATAAATGAACACTAATCTGCTTATATTCCCTATCAAGTCGACTCCAAAGGCCTTAAGTCATGATGGGAGTGTGTATGAGTGTGTGTGGTGGTGGGGGGAGGGAGATGGAGCAAATACTGGCTTAGGAACTGGACAGCTCAGTGGTAGACCTCAGTGTGCTCCCCCACCCCTTGGGGAGCTGCCAGCAGGTCACTCAACTTCTCTGGCTTTCAGTTTCTTCACCCCGAAAAAACAGTGATTGGACCAGAAACTTCAGGAAATTTCCATTTGCAGCCTGCAGTGAACCTGGGTGGGTTGAGTATGGGGGGGGGGGGATGAAGAAAAATGTTACTCGGAGTGGTGGCCATAAAAAATAGCCAAGACTGCAAAGCAGCTCTTGACATACAACTGTCAAGAAAGAGGTTATCCAGCATGTTCTGTCCAACCATCACCTTGCAGAAATCTTGCTCCATGTGACTTCTCTCCTCCGTGGCCATGACATTCCCAGGGGGTTTTGTCTCCTGGCGGTCTTGCGACTCTCCCAGGTTACCAGCATGAACATTCTCTCAATTTAGTCTTTGTAATTGACTGATCACCCTCTGCTCCCGAATGTTTTAACATTTCTCTTCAAGTATGTAGCAGCATTCAAGCTACTGGATTATCTGCAAATAAAAATTCTTCAAGGCCCAGCTTCTTGAACTCTGCCAAAGTAATTAACTGCCATATCAGCAATGGAAATGAAATAATACCCATATATATTCTCATGGTCTGTGACCAAACCCTGAAATGAAAGCTAGCCATTGCTCCTGGGCAATAGAACTTTCTTTGAACAATTAAATGCTATCCTTCATCTGTTGCCATTTCTTAGTCATCACAATACTTTGTTTCTGGGCAAGTTTCACAATTTTAATACATGTGCAACTGATAATAGATGTGTGCTATTAAGTAAATCATTAAATCCTTTCTGTAGAACAAAGGTTGCTATCTTGGAAATATTCCACTTTTAGGCAATCTGTTCCAAAACGACAGTGATTAAGATATTTGTCCAAAAAAAAAAAAAAATACTGCTGCTTTTAAACAGAAAAAAAAAAATACTAGCAAACTCCATTAGAAATTCTGCAGAGATCACCTCTCATATTGTGTGAGGCAACCTAAGGCAGAAATAACAAATAAACAATGCAATAAGACAACCAGTCAAGTCACAGAAAAAACAAACAAAAACTTCACAACTTTAAAAAAAAAAAAAAAACATGATGGAAAGGGCTAGCATTGTGGTGCAGTAAGCCAAGCTCCCACCTGCAATTTGCATATCCCACATCAGAATGCCAGCTCTAGCCCCAGCCACTCTGCTGCTGATCCAGCTCCCTGCTACTGTGCCTGGGAAAGCAGCAATAGATGAACCAAGTACTTGGGCTCCAGCCAGCCCTGTGGAAGACCGAAGTGGACAATCTCCAGGCTCCTAGTGACGGTGTGTACCAACTCCCAGCTGTTATGGCCATTTGGAGAGTTTGAAGCAGCGGTTGGACTATATTTAAATCATTCATGCCCTCCCCTTATAAAAAAAAAAAAAAGACAAAAAATTGATTTCATAGAATGCTTTGCTTACCTGCATAGGCTCTCTGCAGTCAAGGAATCTAAAACCATAGCAAGAATATGCTTTAAGTTTCTATAGTTTAACTCCGTCAAGATGTCCAGCTTTTCTAGCCCCATTTTCTTGCCAATTAACCCCGCAAGAACACACTTCAGCACAGCTAGTTTATCCCCATCCCTTTCTTCCAGGAATTCCTGGGCACCATTTGGTTGGAATCTTTTCCTTTTGCTTTTCGAGAAGAGCTCATGGATCAACTGCAGGGCTGGGGTCTTTGACAGATCCCCAAGGCTTAAACTCCACTCCCCACCCTTCCCGACGCTGCCCTGCTGGCTCTCGGTCTCCGAGGTGTCGGGAGTGGCCACCGGCCTTGCAGCGGAGCTGGAGTGGACCACCTCTTTTTCCTCTTCGGTCTCCGACTGTGAACTTTGCTCACGGAGGGTGGACAGCCTTCTCGACCTGCCGAGACGCCTCGACTTCCTGATGGCATCCCCGGCTTTAAGAGCTCCCTTGTGCTTCTGTAGCAGCTCTTGGAAGGAACCTTCTGGGTCAGACAGGGAATCTTCGGACCTGTCCAAGCTGAGGGAGTTAAAACCGCTGTCTTCGGGCGTGGAAATGCTGACTCTCACCTTGGGCGAGGGAGAAAGCGTGTGGCTCCCGTGGAATTGAATACTTGCGACCAGATTGCTGATGGGCGTGACAAATACGTCCTCCTCTGTGTCACAAGTGAGTCCACTCCCGGAGGAGCCCAGAAACCCGGGATATGTATTTTCATCCACGCTTAAACTGCTGTCACTGAAGTCGTGGGTGATAGAGTCCTTGAAGTGACTGCCCTGAATTGGAGATATGCATCCCACCTCAAAGAGGCCCAAATCGCCATCTTTGGTGTCTTCATCATCGATGGTGGAAGTTTTTTGCTGAGAGAAAGTTTGCCTCAGGTTCTGATTGCTGGAGACCACTCGCTCCCCCTTGTTAGCACTCAGGACAGCCGGAGGGCTACACTTAGCTTGCCTGGGGGAGCTGGGGGCATTGCTTGCGCTAGGCTTCTCCAAGGTGGGCGCCTGGCTCATGCTGCTTTCTAGAGAATGATTCTGGGACTCCAAGTCTCCCTGGAGGAGAGAGAAGGCCACATTCAACCGTCTCCGCAGCAAGTGCTTTTTCCCACGGACTTTGGGAGTTTCGCAAATCTCTGGGGATGTAACCCTTTCCCTCCCCGGGGACACACATGTCTTCCTTTGAGGAGGAGACTCCAAAGGATGGGCTAAGCCGAGGCTCGAAGTGGCAGAGTGCTCATGGGGTAACACTGGGTCTTTCTCTTCCTTCTCCCTGGATTCTTTGTTTGTGTGACGGAAGTGGAAGCTGCAAGTTTGTAACAGCTCTTCATAGCCAACATCTTGAAATGAAGACACCAGAGGCAAATCTCTGGGGTTGGGGTACTCCAAGCAGGCCCTGGGAGAGTTGGAATCGTTTCCGGCTCCAAGGGTGGCTTGGCCTGGGTGTTTTTGGGACATCTTGGAAATCTCTGTTTCTGCAAAGTGAAAACAAGTCGAAGTCTTTCTTTATAACGAGGAACCGGGAAGCTTGCTCCAAAACATATTACCGAATCTGAGTACAGACAATAATGGAAACTTATATAATACTTTCAGAAGTTTACTTTAAGAATCTAACTTCACAATATACTATTATGTATATTATTTAAAACATTCATCAAACCATAATCTAAGTCACATGCACAGCTATTTTGTTGAATTACCCTTACGGGGGAGGGGGGGATCCTAGCAACGTTATTTTTCTTATTATTCCATAATTTTAACACCATCAAATCACATGAATTATCTGTAATGTTCTAGCTTATTTCAACTGGCCTGTATTCATCTGTCAGACTTCTTTTCACAATTTGGGGTTGTAAATCATAAAGATACCTTTACAATATTGTATCCTGGGACCAGGGATGTGGTATAGCAAGTTAAGCCACTGCTTGAATTGTTGGAACCCACAAGGTCACTGGTTGGAATCCCAGCTGCTCCACTTGCAATCTAGCTCCCTGTTAGTACACTTGGGAAAGCAGTGGAGGATGACCCAAAATGTTGGGCTCTTTGGCATCCACATGGCTCCTGGCTTCAGCCTGGCCCAGCCCTGGCTATTTGGGGGGAGAAAAAAACAGCAGATGGAAAAATCTGTCTCAATTTCTCTGTAAGTCTGCCTTTTAAACAAATAAATCTTTAACCAAAAATCTAGTTCTTACACAGATGAGGAGTGTTCCTGCTGGTGCCAAGTGCATCCATGCCTGTGTATGCTTATAAACATACTAACCAGGTCTGCTGCAGAAACCGCCTGAATGCCCAGACTGAATCCTTTTCACAAAAGACTCTTAGAGGACAGGCAGTTGCCGCAGTGGTCAACACTACCACATCCCATTCCATGGTGCCTGGGTTTAATGTGTTCTTCTGACTTCCGACTTCTGCTTCCTGTTGAACCCCAGGCAGTTGGCAGCAAAGGCTCAAGTAATTGGGTTCCTGACACTCATGTGAGAGACCTAATTGGACATTCAGTCCAGCTCTTGCAGGCGTTCTGGGGAGTGAATCCATAGATGGCAACTCTGTCTATCTGCCTCTCCCTTTCCAAAATATAATTCTGGGGCCAGTGCATGGTGTAGTGGGCTATGCCTCTGCCTATTGGCACCTGCATCCCATTTGGATGCCTGTTCAAGCCCAGGCTGCTCTATTTCCAATCCAACTCCTTGCTGATGTCTTGGGAAAGTAGCCATCCTCTGATGGCTCAAGTCTTTGGACCCCTGCACCTAGGTGGAATACCAAGAAGAAGCTCCTGGCTCCCAGCTTCAGATCAGTCTAGCTCTGGCCATTGTGGCCATTTGTGGAGTGAACCAGCAGATGGAAGATTTTTCTGTTTCAATTCTGCCTTTCAAATAAAAAAATCTTTTAAAAAGTTCTTTAGCTTGTTGATACATCTTTAATACATTCTTCTTGGGCTAAACATAATGGATCCCTACATCACAGATATGGGACCGTTTCCATCTTGGCATGTCGCATTTGTTCTTGACTCAGTTTCTACATGTTTTGAGATGCAAGCTCCCGTTTCAGGCTTGAACTTACAGATAATAGACAACTACTTGTAAGGTATCCAATATTTACAGCACACTTGAAGCCCCCATATTGAATTCCAAGCAATTGCTTTAAAAAAAAAAAAAAAGAAGAGTTACTTAATAATCACACGGGTGATAATACTAGGATATAGTAGTCACTCCTTAACTTTTTCAACAGCATCACCACATTCCTTCTTTGTAGAAATCTGAATTAAATCTAAAAGGAAGGTAAGAAATTTACTACACTCTTCGATACATTTTCAGATTATTGGGGGAAAAAACTATGAAAATTATTTTTTTCTGAGTTTTCCATAAGCCCAAAACATGACTTTTCCCTCTCTACTAAAAGAATTTGGGGGTTGGTGGTGGAATGGGTGTTCAGTAGAACAATAAAGTAGCTGCTTGGGACACCTCTTCCCACACTAGAGTCCCTGGTGTGAACCCTGACTGCTTTGTGTCCAATCCAGCTTCCTGTGGCTGTGCATTCCTGCAAGGAGCGGATGACAGCTTAAGTACCCAGGTCCCTGCCATCCAAACGGGAGACACAGAGGGAGTTCCAGGTTCCTGCTGTCAGCCTGTCCCACACCTGGCTGCTATGGTCACTTGGGGGAGTGAACCAGCAGGTGGACACTCTCTATCTGTCTTTACTTCTGCTTTTCAAATAAAAATTAAAATAAGTTAAAAACAACTGTAAAATATCTTAGGAAGATCTACTTTAGCAGACTGCATGATATAGTCATGCATTTATAACTAACTTATAGCAGTTCATATGTAAGAGACTAGACTTCTTATAAAATGCTAACTTTAAACAGAACAAAACATTTCTTTATGGTATCATGATCATTTTCACCAGGGAAAACCTTTTAAAATCATACTCCTAGTTGGGGCATTTTGGCATTTGGTTAAGATGCCTCTTGAGGGGACATCATCCCATGTCAGTCTGGGACATCACCTGCTACTTTGGATCCCAGTTTCCTCAGGTACACATGGAGGGCAGCAGGAGATGTCCCAAGCTCTTGGGTCTCCACTTTCTACATGTCAGACCCAGATGAATGTCCAGGCTTCTGGCTTCAGCTTGGCCCAGCTCTGACCATTGCAAGTATCTAAACAGTGAATCCGTGAATGTTCCCTTTAAATAAGCAAAAAATAAATTTGAGAAATTAAGACAGAACCATAGGCTCCCTTTGAAAATAATTTTAAATGTTTATTTTTTTTCAGCTACTTAAATGCACAGTGACACAGAAATACATACATAAGAGAGAGAGGGAGAGAGAGAGAGAGAATATCTACCATCCACTGTTCATTTCCCCAAATGCCCATGATAGCAAGGGCTGAGCCAGGGTGACACCAGATACCTGGAATTCTATCCATGTCTCCCACATGGGTGCAGGAACCCAGTAACTGGGCCATTATCTGCGACCTCCAGGATACATTACCTGGAAGCTGGATACAAATACAGCAGCTACAACTTGAACTGGCTCTGAAAGGGCACAGTGTGGGCATCCCAGGTGGCAACTTGGCCAACTGGACCCCAGCTATACCCCTTCATGCGTTTCAATAAATCTCACACAGCTTCCTCTAGAACTTATTTATTGAAAAAGCAGAGTGGCAGAGAGGGGAGAGACATAAAGAGAGCTTCCATCTGCTGGCTCACCCTCCAAAAACCCACAAAAGCTGAGGCTGAACCATGCTAAAGTCAGGAGCTTGGGACTGTCTCCTACATGGGTAACACAGACCCAAGTACTCGGATCAGTATCCACTGTCTGCAAGCACATTGGCAGGAAGCTAAACTGGCAGAGGAACAGGTAGGTCTCAAGCTGGCATCTTCTGGCATGTGGCCAGTGGCTTAAGCCGCTGGGCTATGACATCCACTGCATGCATTCCTCAGCTACCTGCATCCCACACAATCTGTGCTAATTTCTGCACGTGTGAGAGTCCAAACAATGATCAAGCTTTGCTTTCTACTATCTGTTTCTATATTTTTGTTTCCAAATAGCAAAGGACTAATATAGGCTGTGTTTTCAAGCTACATTTTCCTCTCATTTTCCCTCTGAGAATCACTAAGTTTGTCCTTAGTACTACGAAGTCAAGGTGTCCTTTTCAAAGAATAAGTATTTGGGGCAGTGCCTAGGATGCCATGTGAGATGCCTGCTTCCTGTATCAGAGTGCCAGCTTCAAGATGCCCGCAAATGCATGACTGGAAGACATGGAATGACTCCCCAGCCCCTAGTTTTGGCTTGGCCCAGCCCTGGCTGTAAGTGAATCAGCAGCTAGAAGCTTTAACCACTCTCAGTAAGTGTGAACTATTCTGCTCTGTCACCACTAGGTGTCTCACTATGCTCAGATTCAGGAAACTGCACAAGGTGGCAGCATTATTTCCTCCCCCTTAAAAATATACATATATTATATATAATACTTAATATATATTAAGTATATTTATATTTATATAAATACATTTTTCCTATGCATCACATTTGAAGCTATCTCTAATATTCACTCCCTGTTGTCATTATTTTCCTCTTCAATTACCCCAGGATGGTCTCAAAATCTAATATTTTGTCAAAAACAGCTCTTAAAATGATTTAAAATTATGCCTGTAAGATCATGGAATGCTCGCTGACTTATTTCACCAACTCCACGCCAATCCACCAAGTCCGTTTCAGACGGACTTTTAAAAAAAAAACAACACAGGTTCCTGCAAACGTATTAAGAACACGTCTCTCCAAAGCGCTCCTTTTCTTAAGTATCCACCTAAATCAAAACATTGTTTATTACGATTTCACTGCATCCAGATTGCCTTCATTTTGTTCAAAGTGGCAGATCTTACCATCGATCCATCTGGAGCTCTTAGATGTCAAAGCGACGCAGGCTTCCAGTTCAGAAAACCTCTCATCTTTGCCTTTCCAGTTCATGCCCAAATTATGTCACTTAACCAGGGGGGGAAAGCTGGAGTTGGAACAACTCATTCTAAGGCTCCGCAGCAAACAGCACAGGAGAGCTACAGTTTGGTTACACCTGAGGACATGGCTCAGGGATGGATGGTTGCTGACCCTGGAAAGTGCAAGGCTGGGTCCTTGGGAGTTTTCTTTCCAGCAGCCCTCCAGGAAACCACAAGGCTCCTATCCCGGCTTATTCTCAGCTGAATTTCCCCGCAGCAGGGTCTCCAGAAAGGCCAAGAAGCTAACAGCGCCGTGCCTCCCGGCAGCTGGGTGCCTAACGGTCTCACCCGCGATGTCAATTATCCGCCTGTCCCCTATCCGCGCGACCTGCTCGAGGCCGGGCTAGGCGGCCACACCTGCACCCCCACACCCCTACTTCACCGGCCCCCAAAGCCAGGGCCGGCCCAGGCCGGCTGGGGCATCACCTGCAGCGCAGAAGGGGTAGGGCTGCGCCTCCCTTAGGCCCCGACGCCTGGACAACACAGCGGGACGCGGCCCCGGGTGGGCGTCGGACAGGAGGGCTGCCCAGGCGGCCGGTAGCCGGCGCACACCTGGGGGTCCTCGCGCCCGCCCCACCTGGAGGCCAAGGACGGCGGGACGCCTGGAAGGGCTGCAGCCTCGGCCCGGGTCCCCAGGGGATGCCGAGCTATGGCAACCCCCACGCCACGTTCACGTGGGGCCGCCGCCCTGCCCTCCTTCCGTTTGAACTGCCCGCCCCAGTAACCGCTACGCGCAGCCTCGCCGCGGCCCCCGCGCCTCCCCGGCTCCGCAGCGCCCCCGCCGGCCGTCCGGGCACCTGCAGCCTTTTGATTTTTACAAGTTTTTTTTTTTTCCAATAAAAATTAGATTTATTTTTCTTGTGGGGTTTTTTTTTTTTAGATTTATTTATTTTTATTGCAAAGTCAGATATACAGAGAGGACAAAGAGGAAGATCTTCGGTCCGATGATTCACGCCCCTTCTTTTTAAAAATTGTATTTCAGTATTATTAATATTATTATTTTATGGTTCCATAAGCCCTGGGATTTCACTGAGTTCCCCTATATCATTACTATACTATAGTTCTCCATAAAAGTCATAGGTCCATCATTGTGGGCATGGACAACGGCAGAAAGTCCAACATCCTATTGTCAAGATACATTAAACAATTTCATTGGGAGTCCAATTTTAGTCTGGAAGAAGAGATGCATACTGCATTGTATCCTCACATCTGGATATGAAAGTCTCTATTACACAGTTACTGTACATCCACTTAAACAAAAAGCCACAAAACAAAATCAACAAAAGGAAGGAAAATAGAAATTCACAACACCATGAATCTTCAGCAACACATTAGTCATTCAGTAGCATGTTATTTGACTTCACGGTGTTAACTTATTTCTTCTTCCTGTTGTTGATTTTGTTTTGTGGCTTTTCATTTAAGTGGGTGCATAGTAACTACGTATTGGATACTATCATATCTAGTAGCATGCTATTTAACTTCATGGTATTATTTTTATAAGTTTTAAAAAATTATTTTCCATGATTCAGTTTTATAGGTATAGGGATTCTCTCTCCTCCCTCCCCTCCTTCATCCACATCTCACCCTGCACAATCCCATTTATTACAATAGTTTAGTAATATTAGTTTTTACAAAAAGAAGTTTAACATCCTGCTATTTAAATGCATCATAACACTGTGGATATAGGCAATGGTAGAGAATCTACTACCACATCTTCAAGAAGCCGGGGATGCTGGAGGAAGGACTGGAAGAGTCTCAGAGGCACATTCTCAAGTTGCTCTGTGTGCACATCAGAGTCTGAACTTCTGGAAATGAAAGGTGAACCTAAAATTATCCAGTCGTGGGTTGGAGCACTTTCCAGTAAGATATCCAACACCATCCATGGGGAGGGAAAGCCGCCGGCCTCTCCAACCATTCCTAACAGTTACTAACTACTGTCTCCTGAGTTGTGATGACCGCATTTGCTTTGCTCTTTAATTCTAAGAAAAGTGTCTTTTGAGAAACATATCACCGAATGTAAATGTTCTGAACCCAACTGGCATTTATACCACTGAGCTTCTGATGTTTCTAAGATTGCATCTCCAACAAACAGGCCTTTCCCCCCCCCCCCCCTTCTTCCAGCAGAAATACATGGGACTGAAAGCGGCTCAGCGAACAGCCAAAGCTTCCCGACGTCCTTAGCTTTCCGTGCCAGTGGCTGAGGCAGCTGCCCCTCAGACCCTTCGGAAAGCGCCTAAATGAATGTCATTAGTGTCATCGATACTTTCTTAAAATTGTTTATTAATACAAAGAGAACACATCTCATAGGTACAATTCTAAAATAAACACACTCCCTCCCTCCTCAATGCTGACCGCCCCCCCACTCCTTCGTTTTAATTTTAGCAAAAACATCGTTTCATTCTAGAAACACAGGCTTCGATCCTATGTTCCTCCGAGCAACGGCGCGGCGGGGAGTCCATCTGTCCGGAAAAGTGGTCATTTCTGCCCATCTAGTCAGAAATAGAGGCTTCCTTTGAATTCAAGAACGGCTAGGACGTTTTCCTTTTCCGAAATAAGTATGAGTCAAACAGGTACTGGATGTTCCCAGGATCCCAGGGACGCCGGAATAACCCGCTTTAACATCCTGGCGCAAATCTCGGTTTTCCCGAGCCGCGCCGGGGCGGAAGGGGCGTCCCCGGCTCCGCGTCATCAGCCAGCGCCGGAAGTGGAGCGCGACCTCGCGACGCGGTGAGTCCTGTGTGAGATGCTGCGTTAATTCTTACCCCACAGGTAGGAAATGATGGTGAGCTTGGGATTCAGGCTTAGGGGTTTTTGAGACAAACCAAGATGACCCTTGGGCCGGTAAAGGTCCAGAGTGGAGTTGGAGTCGGGAGATAACTGGAGGGTGGAGCCGTTGCCGCCAGTTCTTTACTTGGTTTTGAGTTTAGTTTGTGTAACTACTGGGAGTTATTTCAGTAATCTTCCCGTCATGTAGTCTGTCCCTTCTTGAAAGACTATACTTTTCTTTGAAAGAAAAATTTCAGGATAAAGTTTTTCAGTGTGTAAGATGAGAACTCGAGCCGGGCGGCCAGCTCTGAATCCCTTGGCTTTTTAGTAGTGGGGCAGTTCTGCGCCAAGTTAACATCTCTAAGGCTCGGCTTCTTCCGGTATAAAAATAAGCGTGGCGCGTGAGGATTGCTGCGAAGATTGGAGTGAAGTAATCAGTAGAAAACCCTTTGCTGTTGTTCCTGTGTGGATAGACGCTCCGTAGTTGGGTGTAGCCAACTCCCAGAGTTTGGAGTAAAGTGCAGATGAGGGATTTGGGTGGGGGTGGGGTTCTCGTTGTATTTTTCCTGAAAAAAAAAAAAAAAACAACCGAGGGCGGGGCCTCTCTGAGAAACTGCTTCTTTGATTCTGCGGTTGTAGGGACAATGGACACCCAGAAGGACGTTCAACCCCCCAAGCAGCAGCCAATGATTTACATTTGTGGAGGTAAGGAGCTTGCTGGCCCCGAGCAAGGGGTATTTGTGGCTTCCTGTGGTTTTTATGAAGTGATTACATCGATCCTTTGCATCGGGGAATTATTTGTGTTTGAAGGTGGGAAGGGGAACCTCGGAGCCCCCCTCTGGCACCCCTGCCTGCCCCAGAAAGGTGGCATTGCCCACCACTCTGAGTTTTAGTGTGTCGGGTTACCATGGATTATGAATATGGCTAAGGTCCTTTACTCATCTGCAGTTTTCTTGAACTTGGATGCTGTCTCTTTTTTTTTCCTAGAATGTCACACGGAAAATGAGATAAAATCCAGGGATCCAATCAGATGCAGGGAGTGTGGATACAGAATCATGTACAAGAAGAGAACAAAAAGATGTATCCTTTGCCTGTACTTGTTAAAGAGGAAGGAGCCAGCTGGAGAGTGATGCTGGACTGCCAGACACCACTCCTGCTAGAAATAGCAATAACTACGGATGACTTAGGAGAGAGAGGCGATTAGCATTTCTGTAGTCCAGAACATGTAAGTGAAATACTAGGCGATTTTCATTCGTAAATTTATTGTACAGAGTCTGTATTTATGTAAGAACTGATAGCTAAGCTTGACAGATAATTTATACAAGGAGAAATACAAATATGGTGTATGCTACCTGGAGGGAGGGAGTGGCGCCAACACATTACACCCAGCTGAGAGCAGGTTACAATGTGGCTGAACAGTTTCTCAGAGATCACAAGGTGCTACCTTTAATGCTGCTTCAGTGTTTTGTGATGTATTTTTTTTTTCATATCTTGGAAAAATACTAAAAAAGATTGAAAGCTTTTCTCATTTAATAAAATAGTGAATCCTAGGCCGCTGTGCGCCTTCAATGAACAAACTAGTTTATTGCAAAGACAATGTGATTTGGAAGTTTTAGGTCTTTTTGTATAGTTTTCAACCACATTTTTTAAATCCTTAACTCAGGTTAATACAGTGGTGGTTTTTGATGCTCGATAAAATGTGACAGTTGAATGTCCACATTTGTACTTGGCTTTGCTGTACATGTTTCTCCTTGTTGTATAGCTTTTGATGTAGCATACTTATCCTTTTGAACTGCATATGATTTCCCTTTAAAAACCATATTGTATTTAGGTATCTTTTAATATAAGAAAATTGTTCAAATACATGACTTATAATTTAATTTTTTGTGATGTATGGTAAAATTCCTTTCTTATACCGTGCTTACAGTCACAACCTAGAACTGTCTGGGGTCCCTGTGAAACATGCAGATGTGTAGAGCCCTCTGAAAGCCTAATAAAATCAGTTACTTAGAAACCGCTGTTTGTGTCAGTAAGTGTTTGCCAAGTGTCTTGGTACAGGGTGTATTTGCTGCAAGTGTGTATGCCATTTTTAGTTCAGTTTTCACATACTACTTGGCCAATGGTGATGGCCTTTCTGTATTTATATATAATGAGTGAGTATTTTAAAAATCTTGGATGAGATGGGCCCCACACAGCAGCCTAGTGTCTAAAATCCTCACCTGCATGTCCCCAGCTGCCCTGCTTCCCATCCAGCTCCCTGCTTGTGGCCTGGGAAAGCAGTCAAGGACAGCCCAAGGCCTTGGGACCCAGTGCCTGCCTGGGAGACCCTGAAGACGCTCCTGGCTTCAGATTGGCTCAGTTCTGGCTAGAGCAGCTACTTGGGGAGTGACTTATTGGACGGAAGCTCTTTCTCTGTCTCTCCTGTCTATGTATCTGATTTTCCAATAAAAATAAATAAATGTTTTAGGTCTGTAGTTTTCCTTCTCTGACGGTTCTCGAAATAAATGTTTAAAAAAAAAAGTTTATATATGGGCCCAGCATGATAGCCAAGTGGCTAAAGCCATCGCCTTGTATGTGCAAGAATCGCAAATGGGTGCCAATTTGTATCCTGGATGCTCTACTTCCCATCCAGTTCCTTGCTTATGGCTGGGAAAGAAGTGGAGGACGCCCCAGAGCCTTGGGACTCTGCACTTTAGTCAGAAACCTAGAAAATGCCCCTGGCTCCTGGCTTTGGATCAGCTCAGCACCAGCCATCATTGCTGCTGCTTGGGGAGTTAACCAGTAGGTGGAGGATCTTCTGTATCTCCTCTGAAAATGTGGTTTTCCAAGAAAAACCTTAAAAAAAAAAGAGTATGTATTTGCTCATTGAAAGGCAGATTTACAGAGAGAGGGAGAGAGGGAGAGAGAAAGAGATCTTCCATCTGCTAGTTCATACCCCAGAAGGCTACAACTGCTGCAGCGGGGTCTGGCCAAAACCAGGAGCTTATACTGGGACTCTCACGTGGGTGGCAGGGGCCCAAGTACAGAGGTCTTTATCTGCTGCTTTCCCAGGCTCAGGGAGCTGAACTGGAAGTAGCATAGACAACTTGAGCTGGTTGGAGCACCTGTGGGAGGTAAGCAGGCATCACAGGTGGCAGCTTAACGTACTCTGCTGTAACATGTGGTTACTTGTTGTAGAGCAAAATCACACCAAGCAAAGTGACAGGTGGTTTCCCATTGTAATCATTCAAGTGATACAGTTCTGCTTTACAATATAATTAGAATAGGTTGGCTCCCCTTGAATTAATGGATAATTATTTAAATATTTTGCCTTGGTCTTTGAGACATGGAATTGATTGTCCAGATTTCCATTATAATGGAAGGTCTTGTTAGCCTCAACATTAAAGATTGAATATGTTCCAGCTTTAAGTATGTCTGACATTTTATAAAAGTTAGCCATGTCAGTTAAAAAAAAAAAAACATTCTACCATCCTACACTTACCAAGTTGTATGAATTCATTATACGCTATAGGAAGTACTGTTAATGTCAGACTTTAAAAGAATGGCTTATTGGTCCAGATTCTCCTTTATTTCCCTCTCGCTGTTAACGGTGCCTTTTCCTTTATACAGGGCTTTGATAGTTTTGATATGGTCCTTTATCCTTTTTACAAATGTATACCTAAATATACAAGTATACTATACCTCATGATGATTCCTTAAATGGATTAACTTACTGATAATGTAATTATAAGTTTAAGTTAATATCATTTGTTTAATTGAACAGAGCAGCTATTGGAAAAATAAAGTTTTAAAAAAAAATACTTGGCCTGGCACGATGGCATAGTGGCTGGATCCTTTTCTTGCATGTGCTGGGATCCCATGTGGGTACCGGTTCATGTCCTGGCTTCTCTGCTTCCCATCCAGCTCCCTGCTTGTGGCCTGGAAGGCCAGTGGAGGGTGGCCTAAAGCCTTGGAACCCCACACCTGTGTTGGGGACAGGGCGGAGAGGGGTATAGGGTACTTCCTGGCATTGGATCGGCATAGTTCTGGCCATTGTGGCCATTTGGGGAGTGAAGCAGTGAATTGAGGATCTTCATAAATTTTCTATGTCATTCCAGTTAAAACAAATTAATTAAAAACTTAAAAATAATTTATTTGCACAGAAAGTTGTTCCATCCATTGGTTCACTCCCTGGAGGGCTGCACTGCTAGGCCAAAGCCAAGAACTACTGGGTAACATGTGAGTGGCAGGAGCTCACGGCCTTGAGCTGTCTTCTGCTTCCTCCAGACCATTAGCAGAGGGCAGGATCAGCACTGGAACAGCCAGGGCAGGGACTGGCACCCATGTGTGATGCCCGTGTCGCAGATGACACATTCACCCTGCCACACCACAATGCGGCCCTAGAAAAAGTGTTAAAACTAGAACTCAAAATGGCTGTTTTCAGTCAGCCACTTTTTATGACATTTTCATTTCTAAAATGGATATATCTTTTATCAACTTGGGAACCTTTTAAGGAAAAAAGTGACAGTGCTTTATCAAAGTCCTTTTGAGTAGTGTCCTAATAAAAAAAAAAGTGATGTTGAAATTAACCTATAATCTACTCCATCAAAAGCAGTAATTGGAAGCTGCTTCAAATCCAGCTTCACTCAACAGCTGCCCATTTTTTATAATTTCATTGCCAAAGTGAAATAATTATAATTGCTAATACTTAGAAGTATTTTATTCAACATATTTACTGAAAATGCAAATCTGAAATTTATAATCTAAATTGACAAAAATTACAATGCAGAATGTGGACCCATGACGTATTTGGGTACAAAGAAGTGGCACTTAATCCGGTTGGAAGGCTCAAGGAAAGCTCGCTAGTTGACTGAACTGAACCTCAAAGACAAAAAATGAGGTTTGGACGGAAGTTGTCTGCAGAAGAGCAGATGGCAGATACAGACTCAAAGTCAAAAGAAAGACGCTTTCCTTTCTGGCTTCCGGTCAAACTCTATTGTCAGCTTGGCCCACAGAAGAATGTTCTAGAACAGTGATTCGCAGCCACACACGATTCCCTGGAACACGATAAGCATGGGTTCTGATTTAGCAGGCCTGGGGGAAGTTCTGAATCCCTGATTTTCTCGTCCCACCTACTCTGAGGTGATTGTTGTGCTACTGATCCATGCAGCCTTTCGTCAGGGTTAGGAGTGTCTGAGCAAGTGCTGGTGGCTGTTTTAAATGTCCACCTCTTTCCTCTCGCCTAAAGCTCTTGTGATATGGATAGATGGCAATAACATTGTGGGTGGAGTGAATGCTAACAGAGTCCTAGGAAACCTGAAGAAACAATGGAGGAGTTGGTTAACTTGTAAGACCTTAGGAAGCGAGAGCACTTGGAAAATGTATCATAATTAGTGAGTACTTTAACCCTCCAGGAAATGCTCCTGTAACATAGCCAAGTGAGTCTCATTTATGTGTTTGTGCCAGGATAGTCTATGGATCTTTGAAACTGGCATTAGTGTTCTGACCGGTTGTCCTTCAGAAGAGCCTTTATGTTAGGCTAACTTAGTGAGACAGGGACAAACCATTCAATGAGAGTTACTTTGTGTCAGGTTTGTGATAGGTGCTGCAAGGGCACCCTTGGAGCCATGCACCAATAAACAGAAAGGCAAAATGGCATCAGGAAGCTCTGGGTCATGTTTTTGAATTGGGCATCAGTGCTTTGAGACTCTGAAACTTAAGAGATTGAACTTCTGAAAATTCAAAAACAGCAGGTGAAAAAGATAATAGAAATAGGGCCCAGCGCAGTGGCGCAGTGGTTAAGGTCCTCGCCTTGCACACCCGGGATCCCATATGGGCGCCGGTTCTGTCCTGGCAGCCCCACTTCCCTTCCAGCTCCCTGCCTGTGGCCTGGGAAAGCAGTCGAGGACAGCCCAAAGCTTTGGGACCCTGCACCCGCGTGGGAGACCCTGAAGAGTCTCCTGGCTTCAGATCGGCATAGCATCGGCTGTTGCGCTCACTTGGGGAGTGAATCATCGGACAGAAGATCTTCCTCTCTGTCTCTCCTCTCTGTATATCCGCCTTTCCAATAAAAAAATAATAATAAAAATAAATCTTAAAAAAAAAAGATAATAGAAATATAAAGAATTGGATGCACATTTGGCTTAGAAGTCTAGGCCAGATGGGAGTACCTGCATTAGGTCCTGGCTGAGCTCTGGATTCTAGCTTCCTACTGATGTGCTTCCTAGGAGGTAGCAGGTGGTCCGAGGAGCCAAAACCCTGCCACCCACTTGAGTGACCTGGGTTGTTGCCGTTTTCTGGCTTTGGTTTGGCCCGCCCCTAGCTGTTACAAGCATTTCAATAGTGAATCAATGGAAAGGAGAATACTCTCACTTAAGTAAATAACATTAGGAAAAACAACAACAACAACAACAAAAAACGTCTAAATAGTTGGCTGAGAAGGTGTCTCTAACAAGTTGCTTCTGCACACAGATGTTCACACCACACGTCCATCTCTCCTAGGGTAAATTGTGGAACACAAGTGGTGAAGGGAGCATGTGTGTGGCTTAGTGACTGAGACGCCCGTGTCTCAGTGCAATGCCTGTGTCCTTACCAGGCCCCCTGACTAGCTAGTGCTAACGTATGTCCTACCAAGCAGCAGTGATAGCTCACGAAATTGGGTTTCTATCACACCCCTGGGAGACCTGCATTTTTTTTCCCCCAGTTCCGCGCTACAACCCCTCCCAGTCCCATCTGTGGCAGGCATTTAGGGAGTAAACCAATGGATGAGAGCTCTTCGTTTTTCTGTCTCTCTGCCTCTCAATCAAACAAAAGAGTTGTTCTTTGAACAGAGAGGGAAGGATGAGGAGTTGGCCATAAGAAGACAAAGGAATAATTGTTGAAAATGGAGGACACAGTCAGTGCGAAGGCTCTGGGCTGGAAGGTAAGCTTGTCTTAGTTGCAATTCACAATGAAGCCTCGGAATTTTATCCTCAGGAGAGTGGGAGGAAATGCCACTGGCGAGGGGAGCAGAGGCCAGCTCCCTTGGAGC